GGGTACATCGGTGTTGCCGATGATAAACTAACAACTGATGCGTTTATGGTTAAGTGCATTCAAAAAATAATTTTATTCGAAGCGTACAATGTACTGCATGGTGGTAAAACGCGTGTATAAATTTAATATCAACACGTATTCGCACATCAAAGGCATGTTTGCAGTGGCACAGCTGTAAAGCGCTGAACAGCAATTACATTACTCCCAATCACAACAATAAAATTTCACAATTTAGCGTTGCCGCTCCTTCCGTTGTTCCAAGCACACAAGCGGCGTTGCCTCGCTGAGTGACAAACAAATAGTATAAAATAACACAAGGGTAAATAATAACAGAATGAACAACCTATGCGTACGTGGCGAAATTTTTGGCGGGCACCAGTAACGTGTTTGCGCTGTTTGTGTGTTTACGGTTTACCGATCTTAGACTGGCCCAGCGAAGTGTTTTCGATCCACGATAGGCACCATTTCCTGAAAGACCTTTATCAGCCTTCTTGGGTTCAGTTTCAAGAAGGGTGGGTGCAAGAATTTATTAGAGTGTGTGCAAAGTGCAGTCAAGCATCGTAGATATCACTAACTTGCGGATAACACTTGGTTTTCGCATTAACGTTTCACAACACTTTTGACTTTCGCCATAGCACCATTCTTGTACTGTGCTGCGAAATTTAACCAAAAGAAGGCTGATAAAGATAATCACAGGAAATGGGACCATCTGTGTGTGAAATGTAAATAACATACGTGAGGGCAGTCAGTGTTGGAATTCTCACAACGCATGCCTTCTCAAACATTATAATACAGTATTCGCGCTTCTCTACCGGAAAGTGTACGGAGGCAAGTTTCATAATGCGCGCAACGATCTGTGTGGTCTTGGTTTTGTTTGCCGCAGACGCCGTAATTTCCGGCTTTAACCCACCTGAGTCCGTATGGGTAGAAAGTGACGGCACAATCGTCTGGCTCTGTGAAAACCATTCTGATGAAAATTGCCGAAATCATTGCCGCCGCCAGAAGCGTGTTAAGGGCAGTGACGGAGTGTGCTTGGGAACTCCTCCCAAATGTCTTTGCACCGAACAACAGCATGTAGACAGTTTACCATTTCAAGCATCAGGTGAGTGTAAAACAAAGATTAACTTAGAGAGGAACTACAAATATCTTGAAAAGTGTTTTGACTGTAATTCATTTAATACAAAATTTGAAAGCAAATGGTTTTTCAATTTTGTTTCTCAAATTCGAAAGCGCTAGCTTTAAAAATCATGACCTTAAGCAATATCTCTTTGCAGAAGTGTTTCTACTTAGATACTTACCTTCTTACTTTCTTTCTTATCTATTTTACATCTTACTACTTCTTTATGTGTAGACTTCACTCTTACAACAATCATGAAAAATAATGCACGGTATTAATCTGACACCTTTTGGCAGATGTCGGCCTAGACGAAGTGTTTCGTGATACTTCGACAGTAACACAATAAATAGTAAGCTGTGAAAAAATATCTGCGTTTCCTCGTACGCAGATACTAAATGATGGTACATGAGAATGAAGAAGAATTTAATTTTTCCGATATATGTAGCCCGGTTAGACTCACTAAATGTTTTGCCATTATAAACTGTTGATATCGTGCTGCAGGTTCATATTTTCATATCTTTATAAGCGCAGCTCAGGCGAACAACCGAACTCATAATACAGTACTTATGCTTTTGCTAAGATTTTTGCTGGTTATTCTGACATATTTGCAGGTTTACCGTCATGAGCGACTTTTGGAAACAGGAAGCCGAGGACCGGCCAAATTTTATGGCACTGAAAAAAAACTTTAAAAAAATTTCTGGAAAGTGAAGCGCTCAATTAATACATGCAACTAAATGAGCCTAATGAAAGTTTTAACAAGGCAGTGCTTCCGGTTACCACACAGTTTCAGACAATACCTGATCATCTTAGGGCAAACTCTAACGCATTCCTGTGTTGTACTGTAATACTGTAGTTCGATAAAATATTGTCCTCGTGCCATTTTTATGCTAATTCCCGTTATAATCTGCCTGGGCAACAAAGCTGGAAAAACTTATATCCGTCTCTTTTTCTAAACTATCTATCTGTATAGTTATCAAGTTACAGCACATATTTGAAACAAGTCACGAATCGGCCAGAGTCACTACACGTACCGTCTAGAATCGCTGTACTTTATATTTTTGTGCACCTTTAATATACGAGTTCTTGTACGGTACAGTAAGTAGAGTCAGATAGACCAACACACTGATGTTGATGCACCGTGCATTATACTTAATGATCATATCAGCTTATAATAAACGGCAACGCTGATTTTTTACCACATCTTTGTCTGTTATGAATTATGCCATCCATTTACGGGTTTTTATAAACTGATTCTTAACAGTAACAGCAAATTATATAAAACCAAGCACGCGTTCTATGAACAACTGGTAACTCCCTTATCAGAAGGCGCTCGATAGCTGTTGAATTTCAGCGGAACTATTCCGTACCCAGCATGCGAACGTTTAGCAGAAACCGCTAAACGATTCGCAGCTGAATACGGAATAACTTCAACAGCGTGGTATTAAGCGAAATATCTGCACTGCATCATTGCACGTGCTTGCAACGATCTTCCAGATTTCCTTGATAAGGCATGCGTTGTAATTCATAAGTCATAGAAATGTATCTGACTAGACTAAATACTCGTTGCCCTTGACTTTGTTTGCATCGAAATGTCTGTGCGTAAACATCCAACGTCGTTGCCAATGGGCAGTGTAATTAATAAGACCGGTATCTTAGCGCCATTCACATTCATCATTTGCGGCTCATTTAACCTAGAGATCACGAACCCGACGGGAACACGTTGCTCCAATACACGAAACCAACTTCAAGTACTATCTAGCGTCGATCTCGACCACAACAAACCCGTCTTCTAGCAATCAAAAAAACAATTCTTTTGCCGGTAATCATACGCACTCTTGCGTAAGCCCAATTTGCGTTATTTCACAAAATTCTATCTGTTTCCCTGTTTTACAAACAGTTATCGGCCTAACAGCCAATGCAGTATTATGTTTTGCAATCCCAATGAAGCCTTCGCTCATTTGTTTCCGCTGAACCGTGATAAAAGCTGTGTGAACGTAGTCAGAAAAGCTAACCACTATAGGAGGTCGTTCATTTGATTTCTAGAAGGCCCATACAGCTTCTGTTCCTAGAAGCGTATGCTAATTCGCCTGCAAGCAATAAAAGTAGCAATTATTATAATGATAAGCGGTGTCACGTCCTGCACAAAGTACTAACGAATTCACACGCACATCTGAATTACACAGACTTCGGTGTAGCTGTATGACTGTTATAAGCTGTTATTGAAAGGTCATGAAGAGTATAATTATATTAACTCTTTTAAAGGCAATGGTTGACATTACGAGTACGTCAACAAAGGGAAAGCGCTTTGCTGTACGGGCTTCCGTTGGCTAGGTGTGCCGAAAAAGCTGGAGGATCGCTTTAATGCCAGAATTCCTGCTTTGATTGTGCAAAAGCAGTTTAAAATATTATGAAGTTAACTAGCTGCTAAGGAGGACTGGAGCATTACGAATACCACCCGGAAAGACCATCGCACGTACGAACTACCTTTTTTGAATGAAACCTACGAGTATACATAGCAATTTGGGTCGGATAACTGCAATTATTATAAAATAAATAGCTAAATTTGGAAATTGTCCTAGCGCCCATTGCTCGATAGCAGTGTCCTATGGGCATTTACCATAAGCTAAGGGCGATGAATCCATTGGTACGGATCTTTACTGGTGCCAGCCTACCGCCCGCTGACGGGGTTTGGGAGAAGTGCCGCGGGATGGAGGCGGACTCTGTCGTCCAAAGTTGTTGGCTGCCTGATGCGTATCACGCCGATGGGTTGCAGCTTTTATGGGAGGTCATCAAGCGCCCGACCGGCGCGACGATTTGACATTTTTTGCATCTCACTTACTCCGCACAATCGAACAGTGACGCTGCGATACCTGCAGCGTCAGGATGCCCCGTCCTTTTAAGTGTCCCCAGCTCGTAAGAGTCTTGCTAAACCTCAGTTGTGATTTACATAGACAGAGATCCTAAATTCGTGATCTACAACCGAAGGGTGAGAAAAATCCGGTGATTCGTTTTAGCGCATTATGCGTATTGCGCATCGGCAAACAAACGATTCTCTGTTTGACACCGCCCCCAGTTCTGGCCATTTATTCACTAAGTACACGTATCCCTGCTTCGCACCCTCTGGCAAAGCGAACTGCAGTCTGCATGTGATGATGCTGTTGGCAGAAAGCCGGCAAACTATTTTTGATGGGTACGTATAATTAAACATATTTAACGTTTCGCGATCTTCAGACCAGAATAGTTGCCGGAAATGGGGTTAATCAACGGAGGTGGTGAAGTGCAAACTGATGTCCGAACTTGGCAACTGAAAGGCCAAGTTGGTCAGTCTACCGCTTATGTAACCGTCCGCGACCAGACCCCTTTAATCAATAAACGAGACACCGCTGTCAAGCAAGATGATAACTGACACGTAGAAACGGGAGAGGCGGGCGGGTTTACTTTTGAGACACCATAAAGGCAACTATTCACTCAAACTTCTAATGGCACATGAAAGTTAAAATGCCATAGAAGTTCGATTGCCCCGTTGTGCATAGCAACAAGAAAGCCTCAGACCGCACGTTAACGACTGTTATTGCTGGACAATAACCGTCATTAACGTTTCGCGATCTTCAGACCAGAATAGTTGCCGGAAATGGGGTTAATCAACGGAGGTGGTGAAGTGCAGACTGATGTCCGAACGTGGCAACTGAAAGGCCAAGTTGGTCAGTCTACCGCTTATGTAACCGTCCGCGACCAGACCCCCAAAAGCGAAGCCGCGGCCCAAACCAAGGAAACGAACAGCAAGGAAAAACAAACATGAGTATGAATACGAACCATGTTCATAAACAACAAGAACCGAAACAAAGACATAAATTGTTGCGTTAAAGAGGACAAATGACGGGTATCCAAGCGAGAATACAGAGTATATGCATGACTATTCCACCTCCCCAAAATACGTATTTGTTCGGTTGACAGGCCGGCTTCCAAAGCCGCTGATGCGGCACCGATACGTAAAGAGTGAGCCGATAAATTAGGGCTAATAAGTTTTTTGAGAATAAAAGTGAAACGCTGCCTGGTTAAAAATGAACCAGTCGAAAAACAATACAGAGGAGCATCCGGCGGGAAATGCCTCCGGCGCAGGGAGTCATAGGCCCGGAATGCCTGAACAGGACAGGTTGCCGTACCAGTTGCCCCAATGATGACGGAAACAGGACCGAACTGTTGTGACTTGGTTGCACGCAGACGCAGGGATAGGCAGTTAGTAGTGTATGTCACATCATCGCGTCGCAAGGCACTGGAGGATGATTTCAGTGACAACGGTGAGCAAAATTCTGCAAAGCGAAGGAAGCCCGCAAAGGCCAGGGTAACCGCTGACTGCAACATTTTAATATCAAACTGGTTACAGATAATAAGTGGAAGTCGAGCAATAAAACGTTGCAGATGAGTTTTCGTGAATGCGGGACGGGGCTGTCTAGTTTTCCCACGCAGAAGTTTAAAACCGGCCAATAACAATGAAAGTCGCTGATCATTGGAAGTGATATTTGGCAAGTCCGCTGGACGAAAAGTAGCGGCAATAGCGGCTACATGCAATTTAGCCGTAGCGTACGATCGCTTGGTGTCAAACAAATACGCTATATAACGATGCAGTGTAGAACGTTTGGTAGGAAAACTAGAAAGCCCGTTTCGCAAACAAAACTGATGAAAACTTTGAAATGCTGAACGATAGGACTTGGAACTATTCGATGACAGGTGGGCGCTGCAAAGTCTGTCCATCACGGAATCCAGACGCTGCACGCGTTTGATTCGATTTCTTTGTTCTACGACATAAGGCAAACATTATTAGTCAACAGAAAAACTAGGAGAAATGTGGATGGGAAACCTTTCTTGACCAGCGGTCAGCGCATGAAGTAAGAGATAAGAGAGACACATCATAGTTTACAGGCTGTGGAGCGATGTCAGCTTCGGGAACGAGTTGACGAAACAAATCGAGACGATTCCTTGAAAGAGCGTCGGCTGCCAAGTTATCTTTTCCCGGGATATGAACGATACGAACATGAAAATTGTGTCGTGCTGCGGTAAAATAAATCCGACGAATTAGATCCATGACACCACAATGACGCGACGAAAACGATTTCCAGGTTGAAACAACTGCACTATTGTCAGAATAAAAGGTCAGTCGTAACGTGCGCCACCGACGTCCCCACACATGGCAGGCGAGCAAAACTGGAAACATTTCACACCAAGTTATATGTGGCTTTAAAGAAGACAATTCACTTGGCCATTCATACTGCAGCCATTCATGTCCGTAGACAGCACCACAACCAAAGGTCAATAAAGCGTCGGTAAACAAATTTAGATCGGCAGACGAAGTCCATGTTGGCTCGAGAAAAGAATAAAAACCGTTCCATAACGGCAGAAACTCTAGCCACCAATTTAGATCGGCACGGAATTCTTTGTTTAGAGATATGCGATAATGAAGCTGACGAACACTGTTGGCCAAGTTGATCATTCTGCGAAGAAAAATCCGACCCGCAGGGATAATTTTAGTAGCCCAGCTCAATTTACCAATCAAACTTAAAAGGTCACGTTTTGTCATCGACTTGGCATTGGAAAAAACTTGAAACTCTGACAAAAAATCCCGCAGCTTTTCTTCTGGTAGAGAGAGTTTGAGTTACTGTATCGATTTGAACACCAAGGAAGGTTATGGTTGTTCAAGGGCCGTCACACTTATCCAAAGCGATGGGAACGCCAAGGTCACCACACAGTAAAAAGAAAAACTCCATCACGAGTTGGCAAAGGCGGGAATTGGCCGGGCCGGCAAAGAAGAAGTCATCGACATAGTGAAGCACATCAGCGAAATTTGCCACATGACGAACAATCCATTCAAAGAAGTCAGATAGACGGTTAAAAATTGCTGGAGACGAGCGAAGGCCAAATGGCAAGACAATATCAAAGTAATACAAATTGTCAAATTGATACCCAAGGAGATGCCAGTCAGCAGGATGGACAGGAATCAACCGGAAGGCATGTTTCAAATCGACCTTCGCCATTAATGCCCCTGGACCAAGTCGTGTCAGAATTTTAACGGCATCGTCGACGGAACAGAATTTCAAGGTGTAATCTTGACGGGATATGTAGTCATTAACCGAGTCGCCGAAAGGTCGTGATAGGTCCATTATTAAACGGGCTCCGCCTGTTTTCTTGGGCCGGACACCAAGTGAGGAAATCACGAAACTGGGGAAAGGAACTATTTGAAAAGGACCACACGCATGCTGTAATTCAACTTCTTTCTTGATATATTTGCGGACAATGTCAGGAAACTGTCGAGCAGTAGCGGCATTCGGGGTAACACGGAAAAAATGTGTGCCAGTGAAACCTAAACTTGAAATAACACATAACAGAATCGAAGCAAAATGTAATGACAAACCTAATCGGAAGCCATGAAGTAATCCGAAAATGAACGAAACCACTATTGCACGATCTGGGAAAAACTTCAAATATGCCAGGAATCTGTAAGGTCGAAGAGGTGTTGTTGGCTTATTGGGGATTGATGACGGCAGAGTGATAGGAGCGGGTATGGCTGATGTCGAAACAGACATCACAGATGTGGATGCGACGATGCTTGCAGGGAGTTGGGCATTTTCCCGTGTTGTAATCCCTGCAGACGGCAACACGGGATCCACGAAAGGGCTGCATTGACTGGGAATTTGAAGTTGATGTTAGAGGAGTCGAGGTGGAACTGACACCGACCGCAGAAGAGGCACTGGCTGTGTCAGTTCGACTGGGAACGCGTTTAGGCTTCGGGCAATAGGTAGAATAATGAGACGGATCGAAACAGTTGAAGCAGTAACCACCGAGCGGTGGACGTGGGCCAGTAGTGCCAGTTGAAGAGGTGGGAATAGTCGCGGTCACGGGAGTAGGAGTTGCAATAATCGTGCAAGTACGTAGTACATCTGCCATTAAAGTTATGTCTTCAGTGAACCAGGCATCATCGTCAGCCTCAGCGTAACTCATACGATCGCGGAAACGCTTATCGTATTCAATCCAAACAACAAACGGACGCTGGATAGCCATACCACGAATGATTTCGACGTAAGACAGGAAATGAGTAGCCAAATCGGGATGGTAAAAGGCACGATAACGTGCAAACAAGAGGAACGCTTCGAGCCATGAATTGAAATTGTCGATTTTACGATCGCGACGATGTACGGCCACCATTTACTTTTGAGACACCATAAAGGCAACTATTCACTCAAACTTCTAATGGCACATGAAAGTTAAAATGCCATAGAAGTTCGATTGCCCCGTTGTGCATAGCAACAAGAAAGCCTCAGATCGCACGTTAACGACTGTTATTGCTGGACAATAACCGTCAATAGCTCGACTCGAAAGGCACTTTAAATGCGTTCTGTACGATACAGAGCCGGAAGTTCTGTAATTTTTCGATCACACCCCCCTACCTCTGATTGGACGGCCGAGTTAAAGTGTTCTGTATCTAAAAGGAACTCTCCTGCTCCGTTACGATACAGAACTCGCATTTTTCACCACAAGTCAAAAAAATAATTTGTCAAAAGAATTTGTTGTGAATTTTTCATGTGCTAACTTTTCGCAGAAAATTTGAGTTTTGAGTTTACCTTTGAGTTTTGATTTTAATTGAGTTTAGTTTACCTTGAGTTTTGAGATACGCTATTAGATTAGTGCAGAATGAGCACGCTACCAGTTATCAGGGCAAAAGCAGTAACGGTTATCAGCAATAATGCGACAGAATGTGATGGCACCCAGGAGAAACTCAAGCGAAAACGAAGACCCCGCTTTAGTTGGAAGACACAAGACAGTCCCATATTAAAAGACATATGGTTAAACGAAGCTCCATTTCCGTAATGGACAAATCGATATAAAGCAATCGCCAACTGAAAATCTACTGGCCGCTGGATATTTGTTGATTCGTTTTGAAAAACACGGTGTCCGCAAATAAGATCGTAAATTCTTTTAAATCCTTCTCGTGTAACCCGGACTTCAGCTCGGTACGTACTATCACTGGCGACTCCCAGTTTTTCCATCCAGTCATGCCTCTTCGGTACAACGGTTCGGTCCATAAGAAATCGTTTACTGGATAAAAAGGCAGTGAATTCAAGAATCTCATCGGTTTCACTCTCCGACGATTCACTGGAACTCTCAGATGAGTCGTCGCTACTGCTGCTCGAAGACTCATCGAGCGCCTTTTCAACAATCTCCAGCTCACAAAGGGTTTGCAAGTCGCAGAAGAGTTTTTTTCGAGAACTCATATTCGAACACTTTTGTTAAAAATCTTACAAATGGGGAATGGAAACCGTACGTGATAAAAAAGAAGTGTCAAAAAGCAAGACAGAGTGTGACTATCTGAAATCACCGACACATGGTGAAAAATAAATTAAAATTAATTCGAATTAACAGTACGGGCACACATTTTTTGAGTTAGTGGTCTCGCTGCTCTATAACGCTCTGTAAGATTCAGCGGTGCACGATTGGTAAATTCACTTTACAGAACTTCCGGCTCTGTATCGTACAGAACGCATGTAAAGTGCCTTTCGAGTCTAGCTAATATACATTATTTCGGCGCAGTTGCTTTAAGAGAAGACGGTTCCTCATGGTTAAAGGACGCTGGCGCCTATTTGATAGACTCAATGGATGTCCGTCAGATTCCGAAGAGTATTATCAAAACTCAGAGCTGAAAGATGCTCTGATGAAAGGCACTGTACTTGGCAACACGTACGTGCGCAGGAATCACAGCGTCGGATTTCGGTTTCTCACAATCAGGGATGGATGGGTGACATCGAAAAGGGGGAAACGTCTGCTTCCAAAAAGAACGTGGCTATCTTAGCCAGCCAGAATTTAATTGTACCGTAAGTCGGATGGATTACATTTATTCGAAGGTTTTATAGACTTTCTATAAGTCATCCGTGCAGCGAAAAATTAAAGTTCGCGTAGTGATGCTGAACCTTTCATGACATATGCGTCAACAAATATCACCTTTCCTTTGATAACCGCTGGAAAGCGTATCGGTACTGAAAGGTATCAACCCGTTAGATTCGGTAGTGGTAGCCGCCAGTCACGTTCATACTGCCATCGGCCAACCAAATCACAGGACATCACACTCGATCTACTGCTCGTATTATTACCAACTATTGCGACCGTGTCCCAAAAGTATTGTTGGCGTAACCGTGAATGAAGAAAAAAAAGACACGAACTTAATTTTGAGAGAAATTCAACTGTTTAAAAAAAATCGACTGTTTTAACAGTACATATGTACAGAAACGCGAGGGAATTACGCTGCGTCAGACCGCGATTAAATATGCCCAGCAAACACCAAAGCGGCAAATAAGATTGCAATTAAGTAAGATTGCAATAAAATAAGATTGCAAATAAGATTGAAATTGCAATAGTCTGTACAGATACTTTACGGCCCCAGTTTACTTTTCTTGTCCCGTTTGCAGTGTGGACTTTCATGATGACTGCCTTACGGTTCCATCAATGCACAATCAAAAGGAAAAAAATTCAGCACCTTTGCGGAATATTTGCGGAAATTGCGATTGGAAAAGCAACTTTTGCGCTACAAACTCGATGTACAAAAGGAACCGCGGGAAGGCGAAAAAGCAACTTTAAAGGTTGACTTGACTGGCACCATAACTGCGAGCCATTTTTGTGGGTTTAGTATTGCCAGGTAATTGATAAGCCGTGGCAGTTAACTGCAACTACAACACGATTTTATGCATTATTGACGGCTATTGTTCAACACTACCGGTCGGTAACGTGCGATCGCTGGTTTCTTGTTGTTGTGCGCAATGGTCTCCTGTGACATTGCTTCATTTACGGTACAGCGTGAAATCTTTAGACTGGAGCGCCGTGGGTTCCCCGCCCTCTCAAAGTCCAGAACAGAGTAAAATATGGGCATTTTTTACATCGAAGGACCGACGATTCTAGGAAGAAAACCCTCCATAAACAGTTACTAAACTGCAAAAACAAGTAGCATTTCTGCCCGAGAAACTTTGCCAAACTGCGAACGAACGCTACCTACTAAGTCAGTTTCCTTGAACGGTTGAACCCCCTTGCGGGAGCGGAATTCCAGCGTTTTGCCCTGCACACTTTTGTTGGTTGACAGAGAAATTAAGCGTAATATTATGAAGGCTAAGGCTAAGTTGCCGCACGCGTTGCCGCAAAGTGGCCACTGGCTACTTTGCGGGATGAGATCGAAAAGGGGGGATGGGCTGAAAATTTGAGTATCCGGAGGTGGGCTGGGCTGGGAATTAAACTGTGAAGGTGGGGGTGGGATAAAAGTGGAAAAAGCGAAAATGGGCCAAGTCTGGTAGCCACTCCGTGTTTCAAAGCTCGAAAAGCTTTTCTTGGTACGATCACCATGCAGCTCCACTTGAATGTATTCGGCCGAGTGAATTAAGTAGGTTGGCTGCCCCAATCGGCGTTCGACGAACTACAGAGCACATACCGCCATTACGAGCACAACAGACCCCCACCCGAACATGTTCTCATGTCCGCCTGTTACCAGGAAATGCATTTGCGTGAATTCGCTCCCGCGAACGCCCAGAAGAGTGGAAAATCGCTCAATAATACATCGAACAACCACCCCACAAACATGAGCTTCTGTTCTGCTCACAGAAACCCCCTGATACTGCCCACGGGATTAGCAATAGCGCGGCGTGGAAGCACTGAGCGAGAAGATCTTGGTTAATCTTGGTTAATACATCGCAAGTGCCATTAGTATCCAAAACGATGATAAAGTACACAAATCGATAGCACTCTTTTCTTATCCCGATATAATGCATCGGTAGTTATTTTGTATTGCCATTGCAGTTATTTGTATTTCAGGCCGAACACTTCACATCGAATTACAAAACAATATTTCGCCCAATTCCTGTTTATTTATTGTTGTTTATTTATTGTTGTTTATTTCGCCCAACTCCTGTTCAATAACATTTACAAAAATTTCCAATCGGCATGGAAGAAATCATGCTTTCAAATCGCCCAAACCGTACCAGCACACATCTGTACAACTACGGATTAGATATCGGATGTACATATACCCGAAATGCAGAGGCTGCATGCCACTCCGTTAAGTCCGTTTACTGCAAGATGGTCGAAAATGTGTACTTTTACATCGTTCACTGCCAGTGCCTGCTCATCCGTGGCAGATTACAGAGTACAACCGCACTGCAGAATATACAGGGCAGGATGCCTCGAGCAAAGGTCATTTTATCGGGCTTACATCATCAGCAGAGTAAACTCAGAGTGTCCCTGTCTAGCAGAGAATCTTTTACCCTACCATTCTCCGATGCGAGTTACACATTCATTTTCCACAGTGTGAGAAACGTAACGCCTGGACAAGAAGGAACAGTATCGGCATGTCGCGACGGAAGTCCGTCAGGACAGCCGCAAAAGTCCGCAACGTCTAGGACAAGCACCCGTTGTGGGTGCGGCTCCGATACTAGCGGCACATGCGAATGCTCAGAAAGAAAATCGTAAATCGATTTGGTGAAGAATTAGTGGTGCTCCAAGAGGATATCAGCAATCTAACAGATATCAACAAAATGAGCGGCCCGGGTTTGAAATTCAGATTACCTAACGAAGGAGTCTATCTTCTGCGCAACATATTTCACCAGCAAGGCGGGCTAGAACTTCCTGCAGAATTGGCTTATGCCTGCATAACGACCAGTGCTTTGCAAGGCCACGCCTCCACATGCGGAGGAAGGTAGGAAGCTTTGTGCAGCCCATGTTTAACGGTGTAGACCACTGCTTTTGCCAGCTGTGTGGCTGACAGCCCTGATCTTATCCGGATCTTTTGATTCATGGGACAAATGCCCACAGACTGGCTGAAGCTGCAGTTACATTACCTGCTTGTTTTTTTTATTTTCCTCAACCGGACACTTTACCATCGAGTACGTCCCATTGGTCCCGGTCTACGGACAATCACCTGGAGGAAATAACTACCCAATACACTGTGTACACTCGTTTGCCTTTGCCTGTAATCTCATGGACCTGTTGTTGGGCTAGGGGATTCAAAACGCTAACTGGATACCCCCACGAGGACGAAATGCGCCACTGATTTTTAGTCATATTTAATACTGGCCCATTGCCACCTCCTTCTAGATCACAGGGCCGTAATCCCCGAACAAAATTCGCGATGAATGGTCACAACTGCAGAATAACAGCAGCAGATATGGTGGAAATATGAACCCCGGCTGTTGGATTTTCCTAGTACGTTGAGATCGGTTGCGATGTGAATACTGCTCACATTCTAAATGATACGATACCTGTCGGTTCTACCGGTAGTTCTTAACTTCATCCCATGAAGTAATAAATTTGACGTATGTGGTAGTGTGTTCGAGAACGATTGTTCCGCGATAGATTCTCGCGCGTAGCCAAAACCCACAGTACGGGAGTATTCTCGCACGTTACCTGACGTATTATTTTGCCAACCGGCAAGAGGCACCGAAGGCAATTTAAATTTACGATTTAGTTAACGGAACATTGTCGTATCAATTACTAAGTCCTTTGTATGAATTATTATTAAAGGAGCTTTGCCGAGTCTTTCTTCGGTAACCTATGGGCAGACATTGAATGATACGAGTAATTCTTACGGTTACCTCTATTCGAATGGCTTCCTTTGCGTATGGCAAAACTCCGATTGATCACAATAAGTATAACACTTTAGCTTCTCGGGCAAAAAAGTAAACCAATAATGATACGTCCTATATAGGTTAACCCGAATGCAAGCAGTGACCTGCCGATCGCGACGATGTTAAATTAAGATCCACGAAAATTTTCCAAATACAGTTTTACTTTATTTTGGCTTCGTGTTTGCTGTAGTACCGATATTAAACTGCAGCGCATAAAATGATCATTTAGTTGAGTGACTCAAGTTACTTGAGTCACGAGCCAAGACAAAACTAACGTATGCGTTCATTGCGTTGCTAGTCAACCAGTTTCCCGGGCTCGCGAACGTTCAAATCAAGCTAGATTCGCTCACCGGTACGGTACATCGCAGTCGTACAGTACTAAAACAGGTACTTGGTCACCGCCGCCGCAGCATGAAAAATGAGCCACGTCACCCGGCTGACCACTCCATGAGAAAAAGGAATCACATTATCACACTATAATGTTTGACGTCTTAGTTTTGTGTTCATAGCACCTCATATTAATACCGTAGTTACCTGGATCTAGATCTACTGTACTCTGTACATTGTTGTTGTATTGATCTGATGACTAGCAATTAAAGCCCCAAATTTCTCAGGAACTACCAGCAAGGTCGCTTATGTATACCACCATTTAGATAAGCGGTGGCCGTTTAGGTGAACCACTTAAAACATAAAATTCCGATTATACCGATTTCTTTCGATTTATTTCTTCATGCGATTGAACAGGAGTAAATGGAATTTCGTGGTAAAAAAATCAGTGACGAAAGCGTTATAGCCGCGCCACATAGCCACTGCAAAACACCCAGATAATTGCAGTCACTACCATACTCGTACAGCACTTTTGCGGCTGCGCAGTCGCAGTGTAGATACTTAACAAAGTGCGGACTTAATTCTTCGGATGGATTAGTGCGGACTTATTTATTATTACTCTTATTGGTGCGGAATTATTTATTCATTTTATTCGGTAAATGAATCCCCGAATTGAGAACGCGCAAAAAACCTCAACAAATAAAACTAGATTTGAAAAAGTTCGGTTGTTGAGCACTGGTCAAATTCAAAAATCACAGGTTAGTGAGTAATAATGACTTAAATGTTAAATCACCGGTTGATTGATTATTCAGGGCAAAAAAAAAGAAAACTTATTGCCTATGATTAGCGGGAACTGTCTGGTTTGGACTTCGGTTCCATTTTCCTTTTTTGTCTCTCTTCGATAATAATTCCCCGATCTCCGTGGGCAGTAACAATCCCAGACAGGTGTTAAGAAAGCGGCCCGGATCGATGCCGGCAGTTATTTTGGACCGTTCAGATTTTCTTTGGCGCTTGCTTCCGCAGACGCCACAGCGTCCAATTTGTTCTAACCTTTAAAGTTACGAAAAATATAAGGTTCTTATTAATGCGCTACTTTAGATGTCATAATTAGTATGATATGTTGTAAAATGCAATGTTAATAAAAAATAATTTTTAAGTAAATAAGTATATTATAATTAGCACAAGCACTCTGTAGTACGAGTATTTCAACCGTAACACGTATATTGTACGTGTAGTACAGTTTTGCATGGGGTGCATTAATAAAATGTGCCAACTCTGCATAATCGTATAAAAAACAAAAAACAAATACGAGTATTACAGTAGTTGGATAATCTTGATTTCATCTCTAATTCACATCGGCCTCTGTAAATTTCTCCAGAGGGAAGCGTGAAGTTTTGTGGTACTTCGATTTAAATTTTCGCGGCACCAGGTATTAGATTTTTATTCCATGACTGTCTTACTCCTTCTGCCAACGGGAGGGATTAAATTGATCGGGTTGTGGGCCTTACTGATGCATGGTGGCAATATGGGTGTTTTGGCAAGTGTCGGTACTGTCAGTAACAATTCTCTCTGTACCAATATCCGACCAACAATTCTCATGGGCCACACCATTATCCCAACGTACTGCGTTCTTTCCCAGGTTCAGCCTGCTTCCTCCAGGATCCCCGTCTGCGCACCATAACAGGTACAAAATCCCACCTTCCCATTTGAAAGTTCCTCACCTCAAAAGGTCACGGCGGTATTGGTGTTTTAGGCAGCGGACACTGCTACAACAACGACAAGGTCTCCATCCAGCTATGCCGCAGCATGGGCTTCCACCCCTCCGAGGAAGCGACAATGTGTCGCGTCTGCGAGCCCGAGCGGGAATTCTGCTGCTCCTACCCGGGGCTCTTCCTTCCCGAAGGCCCGCCCCTGACCTGTTCAGCTACCACGACGCAGGCCACGTCCAGTCCAACGACGTCTCATTACACTTACGCTATGGGTCTGATTCCTGCCGAGACACCAGCGCCGTTCTTGGAGCCTTTCGCAACACTACCCAATAACTTCTTCACAACCGAAAACCATACCAGTCATCCTGCGCAGGACGCCCAATCGACAACGTCGCACAGTGGATTATCCGTGGGGAATATCTCCGAACTCATTTTCACGTATTCTACAGCGGGAGCTACTGATGCTTCACAGAAACCGGAGACGGGAAACGGTGGGACAGAGGGTGATGGCCCACTCGCATACTGCAATCGCCCACAGAGTACGCAGTTATCAGATGGGCCCGGTTGTTACATCGCGTCGCTGTACGAATCGCAGACGAATAGCGTGCCGTTTGGATTGAGAACCTTTGGTGTGGGTGTTTTGGTCGATCCGCAATGGGTGCTAACTACAGCGTAAGTGCGACCTTTTAGAATTTAGAGTAATCGTCTATCGATGAAATCCTTGGAAAATCATTTAGTGCTTGCAAAATCACAATTATTTAATATAAAAATTATTGATTTATTTTTCTTCAGTGACCTGGTGACCTTTATGGTTTCTTTGCATCGAGCGCGAGCAAATCAGTTAATTAATGGAAACTAACAATGAATCTTAATGAAAATTATTCATTTATTTTATAAACTTTTCTGATAACCAATATAAACAAATTACAATCTACATGTAACGAAGAACGATTAATATACGTGTGCTATAATAGAAAACTAAAAGTTATTGATAATAAAGTATGACTTGTCGTGTAATATCAGTCTTTTCTGTATTTAACAAATTTTTGCTGGCAGTGAATGTTATATGTTTATCACAGTATTCGTTTTCCAACGTCCATCGAAAGCGGCCGTTTCTGGGCCAAAATCGGTCAACTGCCGCAAAGCATTCCCTACAAAGTCACCACGGTTATCCCGCAGACCAGTGTCCGCTATCCGGAGAATGGCTTATCGCTATTAAAACTGGAACATCCCGTCGACATGACCCGTTACTGTACCGCCTGCCTGACGGATCCCGACAGCGACCAGGAGGTCACGGCAGATGGTTACGGCGGGGATTGTGTCGCGGTTGGTTTCAACGCCACCAATGCGTTTGGGCGGGACCTCAACGACGGGAGTGTACAGCGGGTGGAGTACAATATTCTGGGCAAAGCGGCCTGCGAAGAGGCCCGCAAAAAGATGGAGCATCGACATCCGCCGCAGCAGGTGTGGCTGCGCCAGCAAGGGAACCCGGCGGCCGGGTGGTTTTGCGGCGGGAAACCGGGACAGAAAAGCTGCATGGTGCGCCTCAAATTACTATATTATGCTTTTCTAGAAATTAAAATTATTTATTAACTTATTTATTAATGATTGATTGATTTATTTTTTAATAGCTTATTTATTTTATAACCTCATAATTAAAATTTTAAATTAAATAAGAAATTTTTAAAAATTTCATGAAAATCCCAAAAAATAAAAGAAATATTAGATTAAAAAGATTTAAGAAATTCAATAAAACAATATTTTTGTTACCGGAAAGAGATTTCTTTTTTCTTAGCTGAAGTGGATGGTTTATATTTTTCTTCTGTTTTAAATAGTTTCTAGTTAACAACACGTTCACATTGATTTTGTAGAGCCGATTAAGTTGATGCCATTACCGATATCTGTTCACTATTTTGCAGAAGGATTACGGAGCCCCGTTGTAAGTACTCCAACGGCTTTTTCCCCAATGCGAATATACTTAGATTTTTCTTTCTTCCAGAATTTGCATGGATAGACCGAAAGGTTTCCAGCGCGTGGCCGGAATGATGGTGTCAACCGGATGCATCGGTGCGCTAAAATATACAGTCATACAACTCCTAAGAAACGTTTGACCTTTTGGCTTTGCAGACGACGAAATGCGCGGCGTGGGAACGTTCATCGAAGTTGGATCGGTTCGGGACTGGATTCAGTACGAGATTGGCCGACCGATGAATCCTCGAGCTCCTTCGCCGAATCAACCAGGAATACTGCTAAAAAAGAAAAATGCATGACGCAGTTGTACCAACATCATTCGATCTGAGCTGTTTTAATTACTGTACTGTTATGAGTACTCTCTGATTGCTAAGCAACATGGTGCAATACGGCTGATTACCGTTTTTGCTGCTCTGTATCAATAAAAAATTAAAAACTGCAAATCGAACAGTACTTTGCAAAGAACTATTGAGGAAGCGTCATCGGTTTTTTCAAAATGATCTAGCGATCTAGTAATTCCTGCGCTTCGGAATAACGAAAATGTCGTACAGCGTTCCCAGCACGCCCGCACCGAACAGCTCCTCCGCAACCCGCATCCCAGTTCCCTTCGAACGTGCCCAACCCGGCGATGCCGCCCGCTCGCCCCGCAGCCCCAACGGGCCCCTCGGCCACGACCCGCCAGACCCCAACGCTCCCTTTCCCGAACACGCCAGCGTCCTGCAGCTTCTGGTCCTAGCGTTGAAGACCCCCGACTATGGGGTCGTCAACTTCCGGAGCCTGTACTGCCTCCTCGAGTACCTGATCAACCGCCTGGATATCGGGCAGGACCGGGTGGACCTTACCGAACGCCCCTCCCGCGAACTCATCCGCGAAGCCGTGCGCTGGATGCCGGAGTTCCCGGGGTCCGAACGGACGGGTAAGGATGTGGTGGATTTCCGCAGTGATCAGCGCATTGCGACGCTGGAGCACCGGGTCTCGACGCTGCGTCTGCAGATGGAAGCGTTCCATGAGCTGCCGACGACGGACCGGTTGAGTGAACGGATGGCGGAGAAGACGGGGGAAGCGGGGCGAACCAGTAGTCCGTTAATCGAAGCCTGGCAGGTGGCGCAGTTATCCAAGCGAATGGATGCGGCGGAGCAGTCGCTGGAGAAGGCGTTCAGTGTGATGGATGAGTTGTTGGATGGGGTGAATAAAGTAAAGAAGCTGAAGCATTCGCTGATGCGGTATATTCAGCGCTGGATGTTCAATCCTGATGCAGCGTTTCAGCAGGTAATATAAAAGTTTGAACGGTCTGATAAATCTTTTTAGCAGAGCAATGATTTTTATTTTCTAAAGGTCACTTCTTCGAAACAGTTAAACTAAAGTTTGTAGAGCCAGTTTAACCATTCTTTACCAATTGTTTTTAGTACTTTTTACCCATTTGCTCAATAAAAGTCACCAGCAGCTGAAATTTTAGGGGCTCACCAGCTACATAAATCGATTCTTAAAGGTCAAAACGCGAAAGTTAAACAAAGCGTTTTCAAAATCCGACTGAATTTTGTTCGAGAATATATTTTCACCATTTTATGGGTAAGAACAGCAAACAATGCGCTTTTAATGACTTCCCAAATTCTAAAGTCTTGGAATCATTTTCGGAAAGGTCACTATTTGAAATTTTGAACGATATGTACGAGGTCACTATTTGAAATTTCACGAGGTCACTATTTGAAATTCTGAACGATATGTACGTAAATCAAATAAAATTTTTTTAGTAATTGTTTCTTCCACCATCTTGGGAAGGACTGCTAATAAATCATTTTTTTAAATCTTCAGAACGCCTGAATCGATTTTCGTCGAAGTCGAAGTTTCATATTTTTATAAGGAGTTATGTTCATCGCTTTCTTGGTGACACGGTGCAAATGCACTTGCCTCAGTTTTTCCGATTAAATTTTTTTTAAAATCGGTTTTGGTAAGACTAAGGGCCACCTATTTGATGTTTCGGATAAAACGTTTACGTGTGCTCGCTTGTTGATTTTTGAATTCAAAATCCCTCTTTGGTTTACGAAACCTTTAGGCGCTCAACGGTGAAGCTTTCGGTGATGACGATGAAGAGGAAGATCTGGCCGTACCGAACAAATTCCCATTTGTGACGTGGCCCGCATTGCGAGAGGTCCTGATCAATCGCCAAGCTGAGAACGACGCCGAGGCATCACCGCTTTCCGCTGTTCTCGAAGCCTTCGCGCCGTTGGTAACGATACCCGAAAACGGCGATGAACCGCGAACGGCAGACGCGGAGAGACGATCCACTTCATCTGGAAGAGCCAGTTCGGTTCCTGCCCGAGGTGCTTAACACTAGGTATTTGTGGTCAAACCTTTTTAATAAATCCCATAATATCTTTTTCACTGCGTCACTTTCTTAATTTCAGAACGCAGCCGCAGCGTGTCGTTTCCGAAAGACGCAAGGGACCTGGCAACTACCGCGGAGACCGAAACGGAGAAACGCCGGTCTACCAAAGCGCTGGACGCAGCTCGCGATACAACCAGAGAAAGCGTGTCTCCTTTACATTCTCCGGATCATTCGTCACCCGGTTCCTCGCCCCGTTCGACTTCGCGCGCGCTCAGCCTGCGCGAGTCGCTGGATGTCCCATCGTTCATCGCGCCGCCCGACGGCGAAGTCCTGCATTCGTTAACCAAGATCGGGAATCTCCTGAAATGGAGTAAACGTGTCGAAGCACGGCTGAACCGGTTAGAAGCGTATCTCGGCAATGTAGCAAACAAGGATGAATTTCGAAGAATCGGTAAGACAAACACAGAACTTACGAAACAAAATTAGGAATAACACAATGCAAAACAATTTATTATAAATTTTTTAATTTCAACAAACTTAGGAAAATCATTAAACGGTTTTTTTTAAATAATAGAATAATATTTTATTTATAAAATTTCTAAAATAGATGGGAATTATTTGGTGTAGACTTCTGAAGCGATTAAATTCAAAAATTTTGAAATGAAGGGAACAGAAAAATATACTTAAGCAAATGCAACGCTACATCCATTTGCATTTAATCGCTTGTTTACGTTGAACTGTCAAAAGATAGGAGAAATTTCGTTACAGCGGATGATTTGGATGAAGTCCGTAAATCCATCGCCCCGCTGAGCGAATGGGTCAGCGAATGGGGGCCCAGCCATATCGGCGCCGAACTGATCCCAGCGCAAATCGCAAATACCGGCTTACAAACCACTGCAGGCAGTGCGCTCCCCGACCAAACGGTAAAGGTCACGGAGGGCGGTGGTTCGCGACCGGTGTCACCGCTCTTTGACACGGATGACCAACGCCCCAGTGCGGAGACCCAGGCGTTGCACGCCCAGATGCGAGAGCTCAACGCCGCCAACGAAGCACAGAAGCGATTGCTGGCCGAACTGCAGAGTCGCGCTAGTATCATGGCAGCGGAGCTAGCAGCCGTTAGTAAGGCGGTGAAAGAGCAAGCGGCGAAATTGCCGGCCGCGCCGTCACGGATTGCCATCCAGCCGAAACTCAGCTTGCCCAAGACGGAAAAATCGCCGGTAATTTTGCTTACTTCACAAGAACAACGTAAAATATTTTCGAGTACTTTGTTAACATGTTATTAGTATTCTTAAGTATATGCTATTCATTATTTTTACAAGTTTTTACGAAAATTTTTATTTTGTATTGTTAATTGTCTGAAATTTTCAGTGAACTTTTCGTGAGTAAATGCATCGATTAAGCGGATTTTGTTTACAGTGTACACAAGGACCCAGTCAAAGCCAGTTCGACATTTTCTGTCGTGCCTGCGCGGAAAACTTCCAGATGGTGGAGCTGCGGTTGGCGGAACTGGAGAATACGGTGGACCACCACGCAGATCGCTTGCAAGTAAGACACGTGATGAATGAGGCTTTCGTTATATGTACAAAGTACTTAACATTAGTTGGCCGACAGAACCTCAACGAATTAATCAGCCGATTGGACCGCATTAAAGCGGATATTGACCAAGTGGCTGGTATGATTTCTCCGGTTAGTGGATTTACTGTTTCGCTACGCACCTTACCTGCAATATTTATGCATGGATGTTTATGATGAATAGAAATCTGAAATAATATAAACAAAATTACTATTTATTTGTATCAGTGATTTAGTTTTTACAGATTAACGAGTTCTCAACTTCTTATTTGTGCTTCTTATTCTTCTTATTTGTATTAAACAAAAATATTATTCCATTATTATGACGTTTCTAGTTAATGTATTTGATCATACTTCTACTGTTTGGTTTAGAAAGCTGACGCGGCAGAAGTGCGGAATAAAGTTGACCGGCACCAGTTCATGGAAGTGGCCAATATCTTGCAGCAGAAGCTACTGGATATGAAGGACGACTTGAAGCTACAGGTGCGTACGACCTTTGGCTAGCGTTTTCAGGGCTCTAGCTACGATTCTTGTGCTGGTGTACAGGCGGAAGCCATGGACAGTTCCCTCGGCCAGTTAGACTACCGCATCAACAACGAGATGAATAACGAGTCGCACGAGCAGCTGCTGGAGCAGACCAACCGGAACATCCAGCTAGTGCATAACCGCGTCATCCAACTGGAAGGACTGTTACATGTGGATTCGGCTGCCGGAGCTAAACGGTACGGATGTTGTAATGCCAACTAATTGTACCTATAACGAAGGATATTTTATTCGGCATTATACGAAAGCCGTTGCAAGTAACAAAAACGTAAAGAATTTGGCCAAATCCTTTTCAAAATCGCGAGTAATATGAACAAAATATAAAGCAAGAATAAATAATATGTAAGGAAAGGGATGAAACAGTAAAAGGATGAAGCATAAAGTTTTCAATTGAAATTAAAATATGCCGTCAGTTGTTGCTTTTAATAGCTGTGCCAAAACCCTACAAGCTAATTAAAGAGCAGTGCAGTAGAGATAAATATTGGGAAAAGTAGCTATGGATTTTACAGTATGCTGCTATTTCATTTGCAGACCGTTTGGCGCCTACAAATGTGTATCATGCGACAAACCAGTAGATCCGCATCCTAGCAGGTACGCAAAATGCAAATGTTACGAGTAGTTTGTGCCTAAATTCGATTATCCTGAAATATTTTAACGCTGCTTTTAGTCGGACGTCCGGCTGGCCGCACGCCTACATCACCGACTCCATCCGGCCGCATCTGGAGATGATGAAGTACCGCGCCATCCAGTCCGGCGACGCCAGTGACGCACAGAAACTGCGGGAAGCCAAATTCCGCAACCTGGCTGTGGCCAAACAGCTGCAGCGGCATATGCGTGAACAGGAGTGCCTGGAGTTCAAACAGGCGGCCAACCATTACGGTGATACGAAGTTCCCTCACTGTGATCACCAGGTGGCACGGCCGGTCGGCGGTAGAGTGATCGGGCAGCTGCGCTCCAAGAGCGACCAAATGTACGAAATAACTTGTTTCTATGTCATTTAAATTCACATAAAAGTGTTCAATATTTCTTTCGGAATGAATTCCACTTTTATTTCAACCTGAAAATGATGTCTTCATTGGATTTTGTTTGGTTAGATCGGACCGCAATCCACGCAAATATATCGAAGACCGACTGGACAGTTTCATCAAGAAGAACAACCTGGCGATACAGTATCCGAAAAGCGCCAGAGTAAGTCCGCGAAAACTGCATGTTTTTTCATTACGAACGTTAAGCCGGTTTCTTTAACAACGTATGATTCTGCAGTTTCGTCGTTCGTATCCGGCGACGGATATCCCCGGCTATCCCGATATGAACATCCGCTCCGTTGCTCAGACCAACCAGCCAGCGCTTCCGCCGGTTAATAACGAACCCGTGACCTTACAACCCGGCATGCTTCCACCGAAATCTTCGATTCCAAGCGCTCCGGAAAAGAACCAGCTGTTCAATGAAATCAAGGAAGCGGTGCGGGTCTCACCGATTCCCGAGGACGCCCGGATCCCGGAGGTTACGAATGCTGCGGCGATGCGAAAAACACTAACGGCGGAACAAAATCTTCAAGCGGTCGATGTGGAGATGGTCCGGATAAAGATCGAACCGCAATCGGTGGCGACGGCAGTCGTTCATCCAGCCGAAACGGAAAATAGTGTAGTTGTAACGCCAGTGCAAAATCAAGATGTGGCAAATGCTGCCGGAACTGTTGAACCAGAGGTTATGTTGAATCCAGAAAATTCTTAATGCTGTCCTAATTTATTACTTTGTTATTGTGTTGCTTGGTTTTTACGTCATTTTAACCTGTATGTGTTATCAAATTTGGTGGAAATAAAATAACACAGTAAATATTTGCACGTATTCCATGAGTAATAAAACTGGTGATCGTCCTCGCACACCTGACAGCGCCTCGATTAAATCGCGTTCCCGTAATTCGCACCATGAACCGAGTTCGCTCACCCTGTCGTACACAGACCTGCCCGGGATGCGGGATTCGTTCGAGACGGATGAAGACAAATTTCGGACGGTGTTCGATGTGGGCGGTAATCAAAGCGCCAATCCCGGAGAAGAACAGCTGCAAGCGCTACGAGCACGCGCCATGGCGAAACTGGACGCCGCACCACCCAGCGAACGCTCGCGTGGCTCCATAATGAAACCGAATAGTACTAAGGTCAACGGTATAGAAGACGTAATTGTAGCGAAAAACGGGGACGCGTATTTGGCTGCCCCGGGAGATTTCGGTGGCGGACGAAATGGGTATGGCGAACGCCAGAGATCGATGGAAACGAATAACAGGTTCACACACCGTAATACTCTGCATTTTCCATCAGCTGGAGCAGGACGTAAGTAAGCAGGACACACTACTGCAAATACGCACGCTGCTCCAAATCAAGAACTTATTTCTTGGCTTACTGAAAATAAAGTACGGTAAGTACACATGTATGTACGTGAAAATGATTGTTGCCAAGTCACATGATGCTTCAGACGAAGCATTTTGTAGACAGTACTACGAGTACAAGTGCTGCGAGCAACTCAAAATTTATCTAAGCTGTCAAACAGTGCAATTAATTACTTACTTAATAATATTAAGTTAATATTATAATTTTTTAAAAATTCTTGACTGACTACTCATCCAGTTTTTTCGAGTTTCTTAAGTTATTCTTGACTCTTGAATTGCGGTGCGGTCATTGTGTAAAACTTTGCGGATTAACGTTATTGTTATCGTCTACAACTACAGTACATGTTATACAAGCGCAGTTGCGCGTGCCTCTTTGCGGATTACTGCCACAATAATTTAACCGCAATCATGAAGATTATTGTGAAATCATTTTTCGTATTCGTGCTAATTTATTCTATTTTTTAAGGTTGAAACTTGCAGTGCAATTATTCGAGTAATTTTTGATTCTTCAGATCCGATCCGTATTACTCCAAAGTCGTCACCGAACAATCGATCACAACCGAGAAGAGTCCGGATGGCGTTACCCGCACCAAGCGTTCCGTCACCTGCCGAACATGCGACATACCCAGTGCTGACCTTTCCGGGCAAATCCATAAATTCAACTGCGAAGACCGTCCGACCAGCAAACGCTGCGGTTGTTCTCAGCGTGTCCAGTTTTCCGACAACTCCCGGCCGGTGACACCGATCAACGATGAACTCGGAACGAGAAGAACGCTCTTCAGGGTGTGATGTCCCTAAACCTGTTAAACCTGTGTGTGTCGATGAACCCGTGCAGACGCCGTGTTACAAGGAACCGGTGGATGTGTGCAACGAAAAAGTGCAGACGGAGCGCACTTGTCCGTTTAAGCGAGCTGATAGTTGCCAAAACGCTGAGACAGACCGTGGTTGCTCAATACAACAGACCGAAAGATGTGAAGCTGTTCAGACGGAACGTGGTTGTCCAGTGCAACAGACCGATCGATGCCAAAACGTGCTGACGGAAAACAGCTGCCCAGTAAAACAGACCGATGCCTGTCAGACAGACACACGCTGTCCAGGAATCAGTGCTATCGAGAAGATCGCATGTATTGCGAAAGAGCACGAACAGTTCGACGAATGCATGCAAACCGGACAACCTGTGGAGACCTTGAAGACAGTTCAAGTAAAAATGGAAAAACTGGAAGCAGCGCAGAAAAATACCGAGGAAAAAGTTATATTCCCGTCGAACCAGAAGCCAGCGGAACCGAGCGAGTCTAAAGAACCAACGAATAAGGACGAAACCAAGTCCAAGAAAAAGAAGAAATCAAAAAGCAAGAGCAAAAAGAAATCCCTGTCGAAAAGTAAGAAGAAAAAGAAGAGCAAAGGGAAAAGCAAAGAGAAAGATCAGAAATCCGGAACCGATGTGGAAACTTCACCATCTGTCGCCACCGACAAATCGGAAAAGCCGAAATCCAAGAAAAAAGAAGAAAGGCGATCATGAAACGGGTGCCGAAGAGGATAATGAGGAAGTTCCTCGGCGGACCTTCTTTGGGATTCCGTTCGGAAAATCCCGGAAGAAACGGCATAAATCCATCTCGACCGAAGACCCAACGGATGCGACTGACGCGAAAGGACTAAAGACCGAGAACCTCGACGGATGCGCGGTGACCGCATCAGCGTGCATTGATGACGCGGAGCAATGCTCCCCGAATATTATCGTTGATGATCTGGAATGCGCCCGTAAAGCAAGAAACCGTGAACTTAAGGAGGCGATACCCGTGTTTCCTAACAGTTACCCGTCAAACGCGGCGGGTTGGATGTCCGAGGAGGAGTGTGCGTCCGAAGAAAAAGCAGTGGACACAGAGAAATGCGAAAAACCGAACGTTCCCGATGCAATGCTGCTGCTAACGGACGAATTTACCAATGACCAACTATGCCGTTGCGAAGCCAGAACCGAGAAACGAAAAAAGCGATGTTCCGAGTCCGATAAGGAGATTAAACGATCGTAGTTATTCGTCGCTGGGCTTCGCCGCGGATTGCCAACACGTTTTGGAACCATCTTACAAGTCCGTTGGCTGCGGTGACATAAACGTGAAAAAGAAGGAGGAGCTTAATTGTTCTCGAGTGGAAACTAAGGAAATTCCCTGTAAAACCAATAGACGAAAAGCTTCACTAAAGGTCACCGCACCTTACGTCGATCCTGTTCAGAACTACGATGAGAATCACGTCTACAGTAAATCAGAGTTGGCAGCGTTGATTCTCAACGTGTTGCGGCGGATGGAACTGACGGAGCAGCAAACAGCAACGATTCAAAGCGAAAGCAAGCATTTAACCGAAGCCGGACAGTGTCTGTACCAAACCAAGAAAGAACTGGAGAAACGTGTAAAGAACTTGAATCAACGCTTGGAGAACCTGATGTGCAAGAAGAAGACGCTACAGAGCGAGTGCAGTCCGGCCGCCATGGAGAAGATCAGTCAGAAAGCCACGTGTATTAATCAGCAGTTGAACAGGGAACTCTGTGCCGAACAGGAATCGTACGAAGCAGCTAAACGTTGCCTAAACCGCACTGTTGATTTATACGAGAACCTGATGTGCAACATTCAATCACAGTGGTGCCAAGAGTACACCCAACTCAAAGGCGAGAACGCGGTGCTGGACGCGGAGTTCTACCGCACACAGGCGGCGCTGCGGCAGACCGAAGCAGAGATGGAACGCCTGTGTGCGGTGAACAGTCAACCGTTGAAAACGTCGTGTGAATCGCCATTGGATAGAGTGAACTGCGCGTTAGCGGCGGCTCAACCATCGACACGAAAATTGTTAGAAGAAGCACGCAAAGATCGTCTAACACACTTCGAACAGCTGCTGGATATTCGCTGCCGATATCAGACGGCGTTGAGCGGGAAGATGAAGAAGACCGAGCAGTATTATGCGTCCTTTCAACAGCAGTGTATCGGGCTGTTTAAAGGCGTGTATTATGTGCTGCATCATGCGTGTCCGTCGGAGCCGTTGCTGCTGCAGCCGGCCGTGTGTCGGTTTGTCTTGTCAGCGAAATGTATGGATGTCTGTATGGTGGAGGATAATCTACGGGCGGAGAGGGCGCGGACGATCGCGCTGCAGGAGAATGTTGAGGAGGTGCAACGGAGGAAGGAAAGGATGGCGTGCAAGCTGACGGAAATGGCAGCACAGTGTCGCGCGCGCGGGGCGTATGCGCTATTACCAAAGTTGCACGGTGATATTCGCTGCGGCTGATGCGGACTTGGGTTGCATTGAAAACTCTGTAGCAGACTGTGTGACTGCGGCAAGAAATATCTTTTAATAAATTATGATTTGTGTAATTTAATTCTACTGCTCTGTTAGTGAAAGCTTTGTGGCTTCTGAAAAAGAGACAAATACTGGTAAGCTTTCATACGTAAGTGCTTTTTAATGTTACCGCTTCCGGACTCCACTGGGGGCACTGGAGCCCCGGCTGCTGGGAGGCTGGTGCTCTCGGTGATCGGCTGTGTGCGGTGACCGTGGTCCGTGGGTCAGCGAAAAGCCGGCCGACCGGGGTCGGCGGAAGAGAGCGACCAGTGCCCTGCGCAACCGAAGGCCCCTTTACTGAGCAAGTGCGAAATAACAGCAGAAGAGGAACAGTTGGGGGTGGCGGGTGGTAAAGAACAGAGATCACTCGCGCGCGCACGATCTCGAAGGAGCAGCGCCACTAGCAGACTCACGTAACTTGCTGCACAAGGGGAAAGGAGAAAGAGCGGGAGCGCATGTCCTCCAGCTAACATTAACATCAATTAACTCGTTAATTGTCATTTAAACTGTACTCGCATCCATTTGGATCAGCTAATCCAATCGTGCTAAGCAGAGGCGCTGAATTAAATGGTATTTGAGAACGGACTACACGCAATGCATAAGATTACGAGTCCAGTAGGTTCTGAGTTCAAAATTATTTAAACTAATAAATAAATATGTAATTGTACTGCGTACGTAAAATGTATTAGGTATTTAAGGCTATCTAAAGCTATTTAACGATAAACATTGCTGTACACTGACTGTGTAATTATATCGCCGGAACAATGTGTTACTGATACATATGAACTGGCATTACACTCTAAGCCTACTTGGCTGGTGTGCAACAGTGCAAGTAAGGATTTATACAGTATGTTTTTTCCGAATGGCCATGAAATTCATTGTAAAAATAATACTGCAGAAACAATCATCAATCATTTAAATTAATAGCTGCACTTCAAAGGTACCCAAAGGAAGCAAAGCATTTCACTGTTAACATGCACCGGGCAATCACTACAACTGGAAAGCGAAGTGACAGGAAAATGTGGCCATATCCGGCACTCATCGCCGTACTGAGTGGAGTGGCTAAAATTTTTCCGCCGTATGATTACAAATATACGGCGTTAGAATAATTGTTATCCGACGTTTGCGAAGTACAGTATTTCTGCGGATAAACGATATAACGCACCACTTCCATGCAAAAAACGCAGCCATATTGATAACAGCGTATTAGGGAGATGGTTGACCGCACCGTCAGCTTGTAAGGAGCCCGTGTGCTTATCAATTCCTGAAAGCTAACGTGTCGGAAGACAGACGGATAACCTTGACTAAGAAACCGCACGTAATGCGGGTACTCGTAGAGCGCGTCCGATCACTTCGGCCGCGTTACATTTCGGCCGCATGCGTTCATTTCGGCCAACGTTCATTTCGGCCGAGGCTCACTTCGGCCAGCACTCATTTCGGCCACCGCTCATTTCGGCAACAGGACAACTGGCCATCTTCAGTTTCCCAAGTTTTCCTAATTTTCGCAATCTAGCTTCGGTTTTCTCAGGTTTTTTTAAGTTTTCCAGGTTACTATTTTAGGTTTCTCAGGTTTCTTAGGTTTCTTAGGTTTTCTCAGATTTCTTAGAATTCTTAGAATTCTTAGGTTTCTTATGTTTCTTAGATTTCTTAAGTTTCTTAGGTTTTCTTAGGTTTCTTAGTTTTCTTAGGTTTTCTGAGGTTTCTTAAGTTCTCCTTAGGTTTTTTTGTTTTGTTAGGTTTTCCTAGGTTATTCTTAGGTTTTTTCGGTTTTCTTTGGTTATTCTTCGGTTATTCTTAAGTAATAGTTAGCTTATTTTTCGGTTATTCGAAAAGCTATGGCACCATTTAATCGTACTTACATCAAAAGTAGCGTTTCTTGCCCAAATTGGACCAAAATAAGCGTCGGCCGAAATGAGCTGCGGCCGAAGTGAGCCTCGGCCGAAATGAACGGCGGCCGAAAAAGTTTGGCCGAAATGAGCACGGCCGAAATGCAAACGGCCGAAGTGATCGGTAGCCCTCGTAGAGGGTTACCTGGGTCTGGATATCTGCTACAATAACCATTTTATGTACTCCACAACCATGTACTGTAGATGCTTTTATTGCGTATTGGTCCGGCGACGTCGTGCTCAGAAGCACTGGCTGGGACAGTCATTAAATTTCGCATAATGAAAAGCCATTTACGAGTGACAATTATAGGTGAGAAGTGAGAACTGGCAAACGAAACACAAGTATTTCGTTCGTAGATAGGTAATACAATAAAAGTTATAAAACACGATCCCAGTAGCCACTGGCAGAAAACGATTCTTGCATCGGCAAGCTTAATCATCCGAAGAAACCCAGACATACTATTAAAAACATAGATATTATGATAGATCTTTTTTTCAGTGATGCCACGCGGATAATTATTGTCGCCAACCCTTGGCGCACGCGGAGAGCCTGTGAAATATTATGGCTAAAGTTCGAAAGATAAAAATGGTCAGCTCAGTCCAGGTAAGCACTCTCAATCAGCCAGTGCTAACTAAGCACGCATTTTGTTAAACCCACACAAAATTAGTACAGGAACTGTATAGTGATTGCCATATTTTCTGCAGCAAAAGCAAAAGCAGTTGACCTCTTGTGAAGCTAGCCATATGTGGTCCAAAAGTCGAATAAAAGCTGCTGATGCCGAGCCGCATACGCACAAAAGCAAGTGGTGTTTCCATAACCTATTCACTGTGACTTCATGGTTGTTTTTGCAAGACTGTCCGGAGGACGCACAATTCTGAAACTGGCTTTATTTTACAGTTTATACCAAGTACTTACTACAGTGTGAGAAGGACTGGTAACGAACCGTTTGACGTCATCACTCTCGCATACACGGGAGGGCGGCTGCCATGGTGACAGATGCGCATTTTTCACGGTTTTCGTCAGTTTTCTCAGCAGATTTCTCTTCTCTTCTATTTTTAGCCCCCTAAATTAAGGTTTATATATCCAATATGATCTGTTAAAATATTAGAAAGCTTTTGATGAGAAAGAAACTTCAGAATATCTTTTAAAAGGGACAACAAAGTCTGTGGGACTACGGTAAGCAATAACACAGCATTGCTTTTTGTATGCGACAGTGATGGCGTAGTCGACCGCTGAAGAGTCGGTTCCCAGTTCTTCTAGCTATAGTAAGTTCTTGTTTATACTCATAATTATTCGCTTAAATCAGTGATGCTAGCATACTGGAAAATGGTTTAATTCTTACAAAAGTGGCCTACAGTCTGGTACCTGTACACCCAAGTGACCCAACTGCTGGCTCGGCAGAAGCGCTTGTTAATTCTGTAGGCGTCACTTAGAAGGGTAGAAATGACATAATACTAATACTGTGTCATTAAACTTTTGTATCTGTTCACATAATAACTTATCCTCATAAAGCTCCCACAAATCACAATAATAATTTTCGCAAAGTTGTGTGCGGTCCCCGTAGTACTTCACTGGCTGCTATTAACGACCCCCTGATCTCGAAGGCTGCCAACACTGCAGCATTGCGAAAAATATTGAAGACGGAACAATATTTTCAAGCGGATGATGTGGAGATGGTCCCAATAAAGGTAGAGCGAAAATCAGAAGGGACGGCAGCTGTGCATTCACGTTGATTCAACCGAGATTGATAACAGCGTAGTTGTGTCGCCTGTGCAAAATATTAATGCGACCTACGCTGCTGAATCTCTTGTACCGGAAGTCATGCAAAATCTGGAAATTCTTAATTTTCTTAAATATACAGTCTAAGCTTTCGCAGTCAATGTGTTGCTTGGTTTTTACGCCATTTCACTAGTAGAGAAAGGCAATTAACGCTCCCACTAGCGGTACAATCTAATGTTGATCTACGGCTACAATATAGTTTGTTATGTGTGGGTCGCACAGCCGTCTAACAATTTACTTTGCCGGTGTCTGCCTTTTAACTAAGTAAACTGGGCCGCCTACAATGCAAGAGAACCGGTCCATACAAATTTCAACAGTGCCGCTTTTCTTTTAATTACACATCAGTGAAAACATGTTACAAGGCATGTCGCGCGATCAGCAGTTAATGCCACTCCATTCTAGAAATCTGTGCCAGTTTTGGCACGCATGGGTTTGGTACTATTTAGTGCCAGAAGTTTGAAATTCTGTATAAAAACATCGAATCAAGATGAAAAATTGCACGTACAATTAAAAAATCTCACTAATTTAACCCTTTTTTAGTGGTCGTAATTCAGTGGCCATCAAAGTGACCAGTGGTCACTCAAGGTGAAAAAATCTCGAAAATCGCCTTATTGGAAATAAGCCCGAAAATTAAGAAAACTAGGCACAGACATACGCACTAACAATTGTTTTCGGCATTCCCGTAAGTGCGTAACACTACCTGTATTAGGGCGTGTACTTTTACTAAAAAAATGTGCAATTAAAAAATAAAAAAGTTCGCATTTGGGTGTCGCTGACGATGCTATATCAGTGCATGAACAAGCGTAACTGCCGGATTAACAACCACCTTGTAGCCTTGCCGTATCACAACTTTTGTAATGACGGGAATTGTGTAATGGCACCTCAGTTCTTTTAATTTATATACTCTTAAGCACTTTACGAGTGCACACATTAAATGCATTTTCTGTTAACTAATCCAAAAGCAGTTAATACATATCCGGAAACTTCCGGTCAGTACACAAAGAGTGTCCATTTCTGCAGCTGACTTAGCTGCTTTCTATGTTAGGGTAAATAAGCCTCGCCGATTTTCGTTGCGTCTAATTAATACTTAATAATTAGAAAAACAGTAAGCATTACAATAGGTTTAACATTATCGCCATAATAAAGGTACTTACATTAACGTAAATTCTGTCTCCATCAAGATTGCATAGCGAAAGGGTCCTCTACACTACTGCCCAGCGTCTGGCGTTGTCTCTGACAACGCCAGTCCATGACAGCCACAGTCCAGCACAGCGAACTGAGATAGCTGTATGCATTTATGTATCAAGCAGGATCAAACTGAGCGCTGGTCAAAGTAAAATGCTGTTTGATATACTTCGCGCGTTTCCTCATAGACAACGTTTTTGTGCTTGCATAGTGCTAACCGATGTTTCCTTGATCATAAGCGTTTCTATCTGTTTTTCGTGATATACTGACCACTTTATATCATGTTTGTGGTTTGCCAGATATGATCGGCAGTTTTAAACATTTTTCATTCTGCTGACCACTGGTCATCCTGCTTACCATTTGAATTACCTAACTGAATAGCGCTCTTCGAGGTGTTTCACTTAAGCTAAACTATGCTCGTGTACGATATTTTTGTGAATTGTTATTAGAGTAAAACTATACAGTGCCAATTGGCTCAGTTCCCATGCGTGCCATTTTGGCATCATAGCGTCCTGCTTGACCTATGGTCACAAAAATTCAACAAAAAATAATTTTTCTTAATTGAATTCTTTGGTCGAGGATTACCAATTTTCAAGCCAGTATTCCTTTCCCTTCTGGTACCCGGCGTTGGTAGGTTAACCTACCAACGCGTTGGTAGGTCATCGGGGCATCATCATGGAATATTTGTGATGGCTTTAATCATCATGGCTTTGATCGTCATGGCTTTAATCACAATTGCAATTGCATTTATGACGGCTTTAATGATCATGGCTGCAGAACTAAGAAAAACAAGAATCTGGTTTTAAGCGAGAAAAACATGTCTTGGTCTTAATATTTCCAAGAAGCACCAAGAAATTAAGAACCATTGATTCATTGATTGATTGTATCTTGAGTAGCCAAGCCGGCTACAATTCGGCGAAGATTCAATAAAATCTGTGGCTCTAATCCTTTCGAACCCGAATAAATCAATTTAGAATACCTGTTTTTACTAACAACTCCAGAACTGCTGTATATGTAATTCACTGTCAATCTGTCACTGAAACAAAATACTCGCCAGTCAAGGCGCATATAAAAACGCAAATAAAACGCTTGCAAAAACTAAGCTCGCTCTGTTTTTGAACGATGCGTTTTCTGTTGATCTGGGAAGCTAAACTACACGACTAATTTTTTTTAAGCTTTTGCATTAGTTACAGTAAACTACCATGCAGATGGATAACTGTACTAGCTGGGCAGCTGCAAATGGCACCGCTGCCACAGCAAGCGCAAACTATTACAGCGTTTTTCTTGAGGAATCCGATACCAGAAATCGCATTTTATCACATATTGCAACATCAGTTGCCACGTTTCTGTTCACCAAGGTATGTGACAAACTTATCCCAAAATGGATCCGACAATGTAGGGTCACCGCTACCCTGCGAAAGCAGCTCCGACGACAACAACAACAACAACAACAGCAGCATCAGCAACAACAACAGCAACAACAACTGGAGGAACAACTTCTACATGCACCACAAGAAAACGATGCACTAGAAAACCAGATTGCGGAATAGCTGTGCGCAACAGCTTCCATACGCATGTGGCATGTACGTATTGCGTTCATATTAAGGATAATACAATCATTCTTCTGTTTAAGTGTCATTATTCGGCTGTTGCCTATTGTTATGGGTTGTTATCATCGTTTGACAGTTATAAAAAATTGTTTTAAGTTATTGGTGTAGTAAGCGCAGTAATCCACTAAACCGAGAACAATTGGCGGTTAATGCGGTCACGTTAACTCGGTAATGCCGTGACCGGCGCAGAACAAGGCACGAACTTCGAAAACCAGAAGTAATAGTAAAACCAGAAGTAACCGGTCTAACAAGTAAAATCACGCACGGTTTCCTGGAATACGACTTTAGTTATTATCACTGCTATCTGTTACAATCGAAGCACACCCAACCGCACGCTGGCTGCATGTCTGCGGTGCACTGCAGGCCGCCAGTTGACGAAACGCCATGCGCAGACTGCATTAGCGCGGTGATTTATTGGCATCCCTTTACCAATAAAGTGGGCCGTTTTTGAAAAACAATTAGTTTTATTTACAATTCACGTGCTCTTGCGCAGGAAGCGTAGATCACCATGTATTTTTTATGACTTACACTATGACGTAGGTGCCTACGTGCACCTGCCGGTGCCCGCGTAGTTGCCATGAGTTTGGCATGCTGTAAACTGGTAGGTCGGTACAGTACATAGGACATTGTCTTGTTAATTTGCTGTGCAACATTTATGTAACTGCCAGACTTACAGTTTAGCCTGGCAGTGAAGTGATTAGAGTTAGGTAAATACGTAATTCAGCTACAGTTAAAAAACTACCGTTAAATACTTCTACAGCTAGTGTAGATGACCTAAAAAACGCCAAGTACTGTACGTATGTATAAACTAAAGTCTTTTTATAAGTTGACGAGGTTTGGGTTCCACAATTCTCTTTGCAGTATTTTAATGTGCCGGATGTGGGCAACAGGGCAATATGAACTATGAACACCGGAGACGGTGCATAATGCGGCATTGAATTCCCACTACAAACATCTAACAACTACCGTACTTATGCGGGCAATAAATACCGTACAGACAATAAAATTTAATACAGTAATCGTACTCAATTCGGTCTTGCCAACACAGATTAGCAGACCAACCGGGGCACATATGCGGGCTCCTAAATCAGAAAAATATAATCTTTGTCGGAAAGGTAGTATACTCGTACTTACGCAATATACATGGAAAAATAGTTTTATCTGCTGCGTTAAGACAGGCGCGCCAAATATAATTTTATGTCGAGGAAATACCAAGTAAATACTGCACATACGCACTATAGAGCATTGGTTTTTTTGTCAGTTACTTTCATGAGAGGCAGAATCGTTTGAAGCTAGTACATACGGTATGCCCTTTGACTTCGTGGTAATTTACAGTCAACTTTTTTTCAGTACAAGTTTTTTAATTTTAATTTACCTTTTTTTATTTACACAAAACTTTGATAAAGGAACCAGTTTTATGCCCGTTCTGTGACACTATACGATTCCAGGAAATTAACTACGGATATTTAATTTCCTGGAATCGTATATCTATAGTGTCACAGAACGGGCGTAAAATTGGTTCCTTTATCAAAGTTTTTGTAAATTTTGTAGATTTCAGAGCTCCATGATATGATAGGATTCTTTAACTTTCACTGCAAGTTTTGGGGCGGAAAAATGAGAAAATAGCGCTTATGCTGTGCTGCAGCACTACACTGAAGCTCAGTACTTCAGCACTGCAGTAAAATGTACATATCTGTAGTTCCAAATGTTTTTCGTCGCACCCAGCTTGACCACAGCAGATGTAATCATTTCTTTAAGTGCACTATGGACTTATACTAACTTTCTCCAAAAAAACGATTTTTCTAAAATTTAATGTGGAGTCGGCCTATGTGCCATGATCTGTGCTATGGGAATGCTTTGTTGACCTACCAGTATCACTAGAAAATTTACAGGCAGCAGCTAAATTGTCGCCTAGGCAACGAATAATTATAATAATAACTACTATTGCTATAAATTATTAACGACGTTTATAAAAATATCAAGACCAGATCTCCCTGTTTCTCTACAGTTACGGGGACGGTTCATCCGAGAAAATTAATTTTATTCGTCACTCGTTGAACGGTTCAGATTGGCTGTGCAGTTACCAGTCAACAGCATTATTTCGCTCATCATATGGCGACAAGCAAGTATGTGGTTCTGCTGTGGACAGCCATTCAGCTATGTGGATGTTGCAGTCCATCTCAAAAGGAAAGATGTAAGTGAGAAACGTGTAACCGAACACTTTTGTCGTAAGAACCAGCGAACCGAGCGCTTGGCTGGGTTTCTATAACCAATAAATTCTGAGCAGATACTTGCGAATTATATTCAGTCAGTTAGCGCGATATTTCCTTAACTGCATATTATTAGCGGCAAATGCACTACATCTAGGGTTTAACGTCGTTATTATGAATTTATATTTAGCTATGGTATTTATGATTTTAGTTGCACGCTGCGTAACATTAACCGATTACAAAAGGTAAGCTAAATACTGTAGAGCACTTTCCGTATCGAGCGCCCGCGAAATGCTATGGTTGCTATTTACCCGCTGCCGCTGGATATATTATTATTCAGAAATTCACAACAGGTACAAAATAGAAATTTTATATGACTTTACATTTTTCTGAAAACAGTTAAAGAACGCGTAAATATATTTGACGTATGGAGGATATACTGTAACAAGGGCACCATGACCATAATAATGATTAGCACAGTAGTAACGACAGTTGGTCGCTTTACAGTGGACTGCACAAAGTGGTTAGACATACAGTGACATTCCCAGTTCCCACCCTTATTTATGCATGGCGCGATCGGCTTTAAGTGTAGCCAGATCTATGAAGTCCATTGTACTCAGACATATAGTATGAGACGTTTGCTTTTTGCTAACACACTCACCGTCACCGGTAGAAATCATGTAATTGAACTTCTTGTAAGCATACTCTGTAGTCTCTTAGATTATTTCTGCTAAGGGTTAAACCAAGGTCTTAGTAACTATTAGTAAGTATTATGTTCATTCTGTTGCATCGTCTACCGTGCAAGTACGTAATTGCTGTACTTACGGCTTGTACGTACAAGCCCAACCTCGGCCTCCGGCCTCAGTCGGGGATTGAATTTTGATTATTGTTTTATTCTATAATTGTTAATAATGATTATGGAATTATTGATTAGCAAACTTTACTGTAAAGTCTGTAATATGACGAACTACTACCCTTCTGTATATCCGGCGAAAATCCTTACCCTCGGTCTAACCGGAGGAAATTGCTACCCCTGTTTCTAACCGGCGAAAATCCTTACCCTTGTGTCTGACCGGCGAAAAACCCTGCCCTTTTAATCTGACGTGGTTTATTTTTATTTGGTGATCACGCGTGTTAACTGAGCAATCGGTTTTTCAGCCAATTAATAGCAATTAGTATAATGACATTTTATTATTATCAATATTATTAATCATTATTGTTATTTGTTTATTTCTGATAGCAATATTTATTATTCCTTATTTTTAAATATTACTTTTTTCTTTTCAAAACTGAGTGCAGAACTTCATTTTGTGTTATAGGAATAATATTTCTGTTAAAAGTACTGGTTATTAAAATTATCGATAAAACTATTAGTTTACGGAACCGTATAAGCAACAATGGTATGGCGAAAGTCCAACCTGATGCAGCGAGTGAATGTCCGCATAATGAAATTTATTTATTGTGCTGAAATGAATTTATGGGGAAATAGAAGAGCACCGAAACACCACTCTTCTAATAATCAGTAGTGTAATTATCTAATTAATAATCCATAATAATAGTAATTCATTCAACAAATAACTCTTCTTCTACTAATAATCACTAGCATACCGCGAATTGTTAATGATAAGAATTTCACGTGCAAAAATCGAAGCCACTGTACAAATAAGCAGGAAAATTACGCAATTAATTTTATGAAATTTGGTGTCTGGAACTTCGAAGTAACTGTCTACCAAACTCTGATACACAATAATGATTTTTGCGATTCTACGTAAGTTACCCATTGCCATACAGATAATCACGTTATAATGTTGCCCTTTCCTCTTTCCGCCAAAAAAATGATAATGTACTATCGCTCTGCCAATTACAAAATTTCGACAAACAGGAGTATTAAATTTTACTCATTACTAATGTACCGCAGTTTTTATACCCCAGTTATATAGCTATGCTGTGTCAACAGTTTCCGGTCAGAAATACACGCATTTCAGCCAATCCGCTAATAATTATTTTAGGATTAGCCAATCAGCGAAATTCGTTTTAGTCATGTTTCGTAATTCGAAGTTGAAATTTGAAAAACTAAAGTTGTAGGGACAAACTACAGGATTTTAGCCGTTTTTTAAGCTATCGAGCGAAATTCAGCGCCGAACGGTTTTGGAGGAAAAGGGAGAAAAAAACCGGCGAAGTCAGCTTTGTATATACAAGCCCAACCTCGGCCTCCGGCCTCGGTCGGGAAAATGTAGAAATGAATTTGGATTATTGGTTTATTATTATAATTGTTAATAATGATTATAGAATTATTAATTAGCAAACTTTACGGTAATATGATGAACTACTACCTCTCAGTCTAATCGGCGAAAATCCTTGCCCCTTTGTTTGACCGGCGAAAATCCTTACTCTTGTGTCTGACCGGCGAAAACTCCTACCCCTCTGTCTAACCGTCGAAAATCTCTGTCCCTTTGTCTAACCGGCGGAAATTCCTACCCCTCTGTCTATCCGGCGAAAACCCTTACCCTTGTGTCTGACCGGCAAAAACCCCTACCCCTCTGTTTTACCGGGGAAAACCTCTACCCATCTGTCTAACCAGCGAAAATCCCTGCCCCTGTGCTTGACCGGCGAAAATCCCTACCCTCTGTCTAACCGGCGAAAATCCCTGCCCCCGTGCTTACCGTCGAAAACCCCTCCCTCTTTTTCTAGCCGGCGAAAATCCTTAACTCTGTTCAACCGGCCAAAATTTTGTGCTGCTGTGTCCGCATGCTACAATTTCCCTTGCCGAATTAATTTTATTTTACAAAACCACTACTCGTAGAATGCCGAAATTCCCGTTTGAAACATGAGTTATTGCTGCTCGGTCCGCATGCTAAACTTTCTCTTGCCGAATTGACTTTATTTTAAAAAGCCATCAGAATGCCGAAATTTCCGTCTGAAACAATGAGTAAGTGCGTCCACTTGCTAAAATGTTTTTAATTTGACATGTATTTTGCATTTGGTGATCACGCGTGCTAACTGAGCAATCGGTTTTCGAGGCAATTATTATAAATACTGATTTTCATTATTATCAGTATTATTATTCATTATTATTATAGTTTGTTTATTTCTAATAGTAGATATATTATTCCTTATTAATTCTAAGTATTACTTTTTTGTTTTCAATACTGAGTACAGAGCTTTGTTTTGTATTAAAGGAAAAACATTTCTGCTAAAAGAATTAGTTGATAAAATTATCGATAGAACTATTATCTAGTTTACGCCTTTACGGAATCATATAAGCAACAACGGTATAACGAAAGTCCAGCCTGATGCCGCGAGTGAATGTCCGCATAATGAAATTTATTACATGTGCTGAAATGACTTCATGGAGAAATGGAAGAGTACCGAAACACCACTCTTCGATTAATCAGTAGAGTGCCAGCGCTTGCAATTTTTTGTTATTTTATTTTGATGGCTATTGCATATAAAACCACATATCAAATAACCTAAGCATTTTTGTGCAAAACTCTGTTTTCGGCTTCGCTTCGGTCTAATAGTGCTAGCAAAAAGCGGTGCACTTCCCTAGTAGTTTATACGTAATCCGTTGCCGTACAGTTATTTGCGCTATACTGGTTCCCTTTCTTCTTTCCGCCAAAGAAATCATACTGCATTATCGCTCTGCCAATTACGAAATTTCGACAAACAAGAGTATTAAATTTTACTGATTACTGATGTACCGCAGTTTTTATGTCCCAGTTTGCCACGCTGTGTCAGCAGTTTCCGTTCGAAAATATACGCATTTCCGCCAATCCACATTATCCACTAATAAATACTTTCTGATGAGCCAATCAGCGAAATTCGTTTTGGCCATGTTTCGTAATTCGAAGGAAAAGAAGATCGAAAAACTAAAGTTGTAGGGACAAACTACAGGATTTTAGCCGTTTTTTAAGCTATCGAACGAAATTCTGCGCCGGACAGTGTTGGAGGAAAAGGGAGAAAAAGAAACGGCGGAGTTAGGATTGTATATATAATAAATAATAACTAACGCCACATTCAACCACAAAGCCTGTTCCAGAGGCACGCCTTCAACGAATGTGTGGCGATCGCATTTTTAACATGCCTTACCATCTTATTTATTGTAGAGCTTTTTGCAGACGTCAAAATACCTTTTGAAATTTTTGTTCCAGCTTTAACTCGTTAATACTCAATTACTCATGCACTTTCGTGCAATGCCAGTGCTGTTATCGCTGCACATGATAGATTCGTTGCTGACACATGCTCAAAAATTATAAAGTTGACCAAGCATTCCGAATCTTCTTCTTATACAGTACGTGGTGCCACATTTTACGTGGCATCTGCCAGCTTTTATCGCTTGCAGTTGCCACAGTCTCCAGCTTTTATCGCTCGCCATACCATTGGCAGTGCCACTGCAAGTGCCACTGCCATGTTTTACCCCCTGCCGAAAGGGTTCGGTATCGTCGAGAATCTTGAAGTACTGCTTATACTCCAGTAATTCTGTAATACAGCCGCTTGTACGGTGTAAACCCTGGCACTGGTGCGGAGTGGTGCCTGCCAATGGCATTGCCAGTCACATGGCAAGCGATAAAACCTGGTGCATCTGATTTTTGGCGCGCAGTAAAATATGGCAACCGCCAGAACGTATAATTCGCAGCCGCAGCAAGATTTATTCAAGCATCGAAAATCAAGTGAGAAAACATAAAGAAAGGTCAGTAAAAACAGGAAATTGCAGTTCGATTTCTTTGCTTTAAGCTCCTGTCTGCAAATTCCATTAGACCGTAGTAAAGTTCTGCTTCATGTGCACAAAACAAAATAAAAATATTCCACCGGCACGAAGCGAGGTCACCTGCGGCCATATATATATCATGAAAATGTGTTGCCCGTACGTCAGCCACCGCCAGCAACTGAACACTGAACCATTTGCATGGGACCTTTCTTGTCTTGTAGAAAAAGGGACTGTCAGCTCGATTACTAGTAATTTTAGTTTGTTATATACGACAAAATGCTATTATGGATTGCTACAGCAGATTTCATGAAAGTACAGTAAACCACATGCAGCAAAATAGGTTAGCAGATATCGTAATAAACCACGAGTCTTACTACTCTCGTTGATTATCCTTTGGGGAATGCAACTTTTGCAGCGATTCGCCTATACGCCATTTTGCTACGCTGAAGTTCCGGCATTGTTCTCATGGATGCGGTGCGGTAAAAATAACAGCTACTCGTACTCATGTTGTGTCTCTCTGCGCAATGAGCTATGCAACGCTGCTGGTTGCCGGCTGATGATAAGGAACTGCGTTGAGAACAGAGAAATACATGTAATTCAAATCGCGCTCTTCTAAGGCCTTTAATACCGCTACGACAAGCGTTATGCAAAACGGGCAAGACATATTATCCTTTAGGTACTCCGTTGGTTCCAACTGATCGCTTGTTATGTCAAATTATGCTGTACAAAAATGCCAGCGTTTAGGTATTACTTTTGACATTTTTCTTAATGACCGGCAGTTTTCGGCTTTGCATTTTTATGTTCTGAGGACTGAGGACATGAAATTTAGTGATGCGCGCAGCACTTGTAAGGTTCTTGACTTAGAGCCCTGCGCGCGCGCCGAGCCTCGGCTCGGCTCGTGAGCGCTCGCGGCTCGCGAGCCGAATGAGCGAGCTTTTACCGCTGCTGGCGCGAGCCGAGTCGAGCCGAGCGGTCGTTTATCGATGGGCCAGCGAGCCGAGCGAGCGGCAGCCAGAGTTCACGAGCGAGCTGAGCACTGCTTTCTGTCCCGTAATATTTTTTATAGAATTTCTAACGATTTACTTTCAAAAATGGGCGTTGACTTCGCGCTTCGCGCGAAATAAGCTGTCTCGTACTATTTTTTACATAATTTCTGGCGATTTTCCTGTAAAAATGCGCGTTGGCTTCGCGCGAAATAAACTGGTTTAAATTCATGCAGCGGTGCTGCCATAAAAATACCAAAGTACGTTTGTACAATTAATCCGCATATAACTTTTGCTCGCGAGCGGTCTGAGCAGAAAAATTTGAAATTGTCTACGAGCCGAGCGATCCGAGCAATAAGAAATCTGGACACGAGCCGAGCGAGCGAGCAGACGATTCAGCACGAGCGAGCTGAGAAAAATTTTACAATAGTTAAAATGACACGAGCGAGCGTGAGCCAAACATTTGACGCTCGCGCAGGGCTCTAGTTCTTGTACAGACTTTAAACGGTTGTGCAATTGGTAGTTGTAAAGGTAAGTATTTCCGCCTCCACTCAGGTACATTCGTAGCATGTAGTATAAATGAAAACTGGAAAGCGGTATAATTATAAGGAAGTTAATGCAAGCTTTTAAAAGCGAGCTCCTCAAAAGGAAAACCAACAATACAGATATTTTTAAACCGCCTTGGGCGCAGTATCCCATTTTATCTGGCATCCTCCAGATTTTGTTTTATTGTGTGCCATACCACTGACAATGCCATTGGCAGGCACCAGGGCCAGATTTTAAACCCTACCGATGAAGTTCCATCACTGTCAGGCTCACCCTTTGCCTTCATCCTGTCGGGCATCGCATACGTTACATCTGACATGGAGCAGTTTGTGTTATTGTGCATTAATTTGATGTACGGTAACTGTAAGCTAGACTCTGTGGTGCAGCTCAAGGCAGCTACATTAATTTGCACCGAGTGCTACAGTTAAAGTACTTTGTATCAATTAGCAACAGCCTGCCAACAGTTAACAAACCTTTACTGGGGCCCGCCGTTAGGCCTAACGGGTGGATTCAACACATTGATCAGACCATCGTGTGACTTTACAATAACTGTAAAAACTTTTGATTCAACGGCTTGAGGAAAAAAAGCTGAAAAAGCTTGGTTTTCAGTTATTATACATTGGCAAATTCTTAACAGTGAGTAAAATCATGGAGGAAGGACTGCGCCAGCCGCGGCAGGACGATCTGGTGGTCTTGCAGTTTGATCACCGTGGGGAAGGGGCATACTCCCCAGAAGGGCTGGAGCGACCACCCCTGGGGGACAACGTGACGCTCGTTTGTCAGCTGCCACACGGCAAAGACTGGCACGAAGTGTCCTGGCTGCACCGGGAGCGTGTCGTCTTCGAGCGCGGCCAGCCGGTGCCGGTGGAGGACGGGCAAGAGTATTCCTTCAGCCACCTGTACAATGTCTTGTTCTTCCATATTCGCAATGTCTCTTTCCTGGCCAGCGGCGCGGTGACCTGCCTGGACACGGTCAACAACCTCCCCATTAAACGCTACTCGCTGCTGCCAAAGGTCACGCGCGCCAGCCAGGTTTGTCAGATTTAGTGTTGGATTAATCATTAACATAAGTTGAAAGTTTCGTTTAAATGCATATTCTCGCAAGCTAGCGCTTCTCTGTTCGAAATTCGAACCCATTGCTTGCGATTTATGCGCATTGGAAGTGTTCCTGTTGCACACTGTGTTTGCTTTTGTTGTTAAATTTTTAAACAACCGCGGAATTATGTACAGCCCGATTTCCACTTTTTTCAATCCAAAAATAAGGGCTACCTACAGATAAGTCTTTTTAATTTTACTTTTGGTTGCGTGTATAAATTTTGAAACTTCTTACGAGTACGATTTTTAGCGTTCGATATTTCTTAGCGTTCCATGATTTTCTTCGGTTTTTCAGATTTCTGGTTTTCTCATGGCTCTTAAATCTTAGATTTTTAAGAATGTTTCTTGATTTCTTATTTCTCAAGTTTTTCAAGTTTTCTAAACTTTTTAGCTTTCTATGGTTTTGTAGGTTTTGCAGACTTTCTTAGAATTTTTTATTAGTCTACATTTATCCTTAATTTCGTATTTATTCTTATATTTTGTAGATTTCCAAAGATTTTCACATTTGTCGATATATTTTTATTTTCTTGTATCTTTACGTTTCTTAAGTTTTTTAGATTTTTAGCTTCCTTAGATTTCTAATTGTTCTTGTGATTACATCTTAGGTTTTTTCGCTTTCTCTGTTTTTTAATATTTCCTTGGTTTTCTTAGGTTTGCTTAGATTTTCTTATATACCTTTCGATGTTCTTAGGTTTTCTCAGTTTTCTTTGGTTTTCGTAGGCTTTTTGGATTATTTTAGGTTTTCCACACTCCGATGCCCAACCAACTGCTCACCGAAGGCGACACTTTGACGCTGACCTGCCAGCTGCGTCTGCCACTGTCTCCGGAAGCGGTCAAGAATAATTTTACCCTGAACCATGTGATGGTGCGCCACAAGGGCCGATTGCTGACTCTGCCGGCGGAAGCGCCCTACTCGGTTCGGCCATCCTCACGGCCGCTCCCCGCAGAGAATGTGGAAGCTTATGAATCGGCCAAGTTCCTCAATCGTGCCTTCGTTAGTCCGGTCTCCCTCACTTACTTCGTTCCGCATCTCACCGTCGCCAATGACAGAGGTCAGGCGGAGTGCTGGTTCCGGCCGCATGCCGGTTTGCACGAGTGGATTGTGCAGACGGCTCTCATCACGGTGCAACCACGCCAATCCTGAATTAAAACTAATACACAAGTTACACAACGTATATTTGCAGCTTTTACCCAAATTACATGGCCTTCTTTGCGTTTGGCAAAATCCCGAACAGTGCAGCTCGGTAGTATTTTAGTATTTTTGCTCAAATCTTACAATACGTTACATGTACACCCTACGAAAATCAAATTTAATAATATATTATACAAGAAACAGCTGCGGCTTTGCCTCCACGTTTCTTGTGATCCACGGCCAGAATCAACAGAAGCTCGGTTACTCATTCACGTAGAGACTTTGAGCACTGGATAGTGGTGGTAGCTCGGTTACTCACTCACTTAATTAGCGATTTTGCTCACTGGACAGCAATGGTAGCTCGGTAACTCACTCACTTAATTAGCGATTTTCCTCACTGGACACACCTGTGGAACGTTTCGTACCAAAGAAAAAAAGTGAATCGTTTTTTCGCTCCTTGTAGTCACAGTAGACATCTGTATACATGCTGTAGACACCCTGTAGAACTATCGGTAGTCACCTGGTTTCTTAGGATGTATACCGCGTGTCTACAACGGTGTCTACAGGTTGTCTACGGATGTCTACCGCTGTATACAGGCAGCCCTTTTTAGGTTCAGCTCGATACTCTGCCTGTATACACCGTAGTCATCTGTAGACAGCCCGTAGACACCACTGTAGACACTGTGGTCACCTGGTTTCTCAGGCTTTTTTGGATGTTTACAGGGTGTCTACAGGTTGTCTACAGGGTGTCTACCGGTGTATACAGGCAGGCTTTCTTAGGTTCAGCTGGATGTTCTGCAGTATACACCGGTAGTCACTTGTAGACTGCCCGTAGACACCACTGTAGACATACTGTAGTCACCTGGTTTCTTAGGTTTTCTTAGGATGTATACAGGTTGTCTACAGGGAGTCTACAGGTTGTCTACGGATGACTACAGTGACTACAAGAAGGAAAAAAACGTTTCAGTTTTTTCTTTGGTACGAAACGTTCCATATACAGGGCGCACACGCCCAGTTGTCACCATTACGAAAATTCATTTTTAAAAATTAGAAAAAGTTCACATACTCCAGTTAGATTGTTCGTTTCTTGTACAGAATTTAATTCTGCGTCTACTGAAGCTAGTTTCTGACCGATGGCTTTGAAACTGATGTCAAAAACTAGGTCCAAAGGGAGATCTCTCGTGGCGCGTTTTCGGTCAGTATAATCATCTTATCAGAAAAACAGGAAAACACTTCCTACTCATAAAATTAGTTTTGGTAAGCTCAAAATACATTGAGTAAGCGTTGGAGAAGAGAACCAACGCAATGGAACCATTACTCCATTTATAAAGAATTTTTGTTGAAGATTGTCAGGCTTTTATAATGCTATACGGTACGAGCGGAGAACATTTTTCCGTAAATACCGGTAACCTTTAGGTGTTTGAATAATCGTTAAAAAATGTTCGGAGGGGATCATTCTAAACGATTTTAAAGTGAAAAGGGATACACATCACATTGCTGATTTACTGTGAACCACCGACGCACGGAAGAAAAAATCAACAAAGCGTTTGTCAACAAAAATGATGTGCCCAACGGGGATCCGCTGGAACGGAATGAGTCGCGTTTACCTGGTCGACAGCAAACGTTAAACTGATGCCACATATGTCCGTAATCATATTCTGCCAAAGATGATTAGGGACGACATTCCTCGTTTGTGTGGGGATCGCTAGATGGGCGTCTTCCCCCATTTTGGCAGTGCTAATTTCTAAGTCGCGGTACTGACCTCACAGGGGCTCGGTGAGAATCAGATGATATACATCCCAAGACAGTATTGGATGTTAAACAGTCTTGCCTTGTCACCGATTACCTAAGGGATGACCTCGATTTTTAAACAAATTTTGGGCGAACGGAAGGTGACCACGGTAGACGGGTCGGGACGCATTCTGAAGCAGGTGGCGTTCGAGTTTTCTGATCTAACTTGTCAGAAAACGCTTACTTGTTGGCAATCTTGGATTCAAATGATGCAGGAGAAAAATTCTGATCATGATAAAATTAAAAAAACAGTTCTAGAAATTGTCGGAAATTTTTAATAAATCAATTAAATTTTGGTGACAACTTGACGTGTGCACCCTGTATATGTAGGCACCCTTTTTTATTCGATAATTCTCGTTCCTCGTTTTTTTTCCGCGGGCTGTAGGCACCTATTTTTCAATTTTTTCCCCAGAGGACTGATGAAGATTTTTTGGACAGTTTTCTTGGTTCCCAATGGGTCGGTTTGGAAGATCGGCCAGCAGAGATCGAATGCGCACGGCATCTTCCGCGCGCACGACAATATTGCTCTTCTGGGCGGTTTGCCCGTTCGCTGGTCTGTTTTCGGTGCGTTTTGGGCATCTCAACAAGATTTCAGTTTTTCTGCCAGCCAGGCACATTGAAGGGGAGCTTTGGTGAATATTGCGTTCTCTGGCATTTGTCCTTCCGCAATTTCAAGGGCAGACCATTAGCCCGCATTCTTCAATTCGGGCAGTTGTGCCAGTCAACTGTCGCTGCACAACCGGAAACTTCTCTAAGGTCAAGAAAATTCGACCTTAATACGTAGTAAGGGACAGTAATGGATGCCTATTGGTTTCGCACGCGACGGGATGCAGGGATTAATTAATCGAAAAAGGGCTCCTCTAGTCTAATTGGGTGCGAAAGGGGATGCCTCTAGATAACGGGAGTGAAAGGGCGTACCTATTGCCATTTCCTTGAAGTTAATCGGAAAAGGATACGTGCAGGAATTAGCGTAATTTTCTGCTTTTTATTTACTGGGTTCTGTACTCCACAGAACGTATGTCTACACTAAGATAATCGACACGGTGCGTTACACTGTTCGTTAGTCAACCCTTTCTTACCTGTGGGACACGTGATTATGCAGTAGCTTAAAAGGCAGGGTGTAAAAGGTGGCAGTGGCACCTGCCACTGGCAGTTGCCACCGGCAATGGCATGTGCCATTTTGCGACTGGCAAGCGGGAAAACATGGCAATTTTCGAAAATGCAGAAATAACTAGAAATCAATCTTCCATAAAAAACATTTATAAAACAAAATTAATTTCTATATAATAATATTATTGATCTTTCTACACTCAGCGGCCAGCTTACTACCTGTATCGCGCCTACCAACGCAACGTGCGCTACAATGCCGCAAAATATATTTGTGGGTAGCACACACATGTCTTAAAATTTTTGAATTTCTTACATTTTTTATGTTTTCTTAGGTTTTGTAACGTGTTTTTGTATTTTTTTATGTTTTATCAAGTTTTATGTTTTTTTGTGTGTTTGATTTTCCGTGCATGTACTCTGGAGCACGGTCGGTCAGTTTTCTGTACTTTTTAACTTTAAACGGTCTGCTTCTTGGTTTTTTTGTTTTATTTGGTTTTCTCAAACGGAAAAGCAAACTGTAGTTCGACAAAACAGTTTTTCGAACACATCGGGCAACAAAATTGTGGAAACGCCAATTGTCGGTCAGTATTCTGTCGGTCTGCCGGTTGGGTTATTCATTGATATGTCGTTGTACGAAAAGTCGACAGGCGAAACAGAAACAAACGGCCCGCGCTCAAGCTCTGATTCTGACAATTCAAACTCTGGCCCTCAAAGTCTGGCTCTGAACGCAACACTCGAACCACTAAAACTGACCATAAATAAAATAGGTTCTCAGGTTTCTTCGGTTTACATTGTGTTTCTAATGTTGTTAAGTTTCTTAGGTTGTTAGGTTATCCTTAAGTTGTTAGGTCATTCGTAGGTTTCCTAGGTTTACAATAAACTTCTTAGGTTCTTTGGTTGTATTGTAATTCTAGGTTATGCCAATATCAGATGGCGCTGGCTAAGCGCGCATCGTCCAACGACGGAGGAACAAAACAAACCCGGATGTAGGCTTTAATGCCGAAATCTGAACACACCGCGCTTTGCGCGCAAGCCAAGAACCAACTGGTCTCTGTAGGCAGCGCAGCTGCCTTACAGAGCCATCAAAACGCATGAAAATGCCCAGACAGGAAAAAACCCAAAACCAACCAATGAGAGAAGGGCTGAATCATAAGCCCGCCCTGACACCAATGTGACTAAGGTCACTTGCGTTATTTAAATTTTCTTAAGATTTCAAAAATCGTGGCAATAAGAAAAATAACCCAAGCTAAGAAAACTAAGAAACGTAAGAATAACCTAAAAACCCTAAGAAGCCTAAGAATGACCTAAGAAAACTAAAAGACCTAAGAATAACCTAAGAAACTTAAGAATAACTAAAAAATCTGAGAACCTAAGATAACCTAAGAATAACGCAAGAAACCTACGAAATTTTAAGAAACTTTTGTGCTACATAAATATTTAGCGCTCATTGCATTGGTAGGCGAGTATAGGGCATTGGCTGTTCGCAGAGCAGAAAAAGATTATTTAACAGAAATGTGATGAACTGTTTCTTTCACATAATTATATCTTTAGTGTAATGGCGTTTTATGAAATTTAAAACTATGCATAGAAGTCGATTCCGTTTTAACTTTCACTTTTCTTGGTGGCAGGCAAATTTAAGTTATTTCTGCACTTTAAAAAATTGCCATGTTTTAACGCTTGCCAGTCGCGAAATGCCACATGCCACTGCCGGTGGCAACTGCCAGTGGCAGGTGCCACTTCCACCTTTTACACCCTGCCGACTGCGGCCGATGATTGGTTCCTGTCTTCATAGCAGTTTGAGATTGAACTAACCGTATGGGCGTTGTCTTCCATGTTGTTTGTTACTGATCGCAGAAACCGTGTGCCAATGAACATGTACATACGTCTTTTACATATGTAAATGTATGTAATGCGTCTTATAATATTAAAACACTGTACAGTGAAAATCTGCTTAATAAAACGCTAAAAAACAAATTTGTAGTACCAGATTTGTTCGAACCTGAGCTGTTGATAGCGCTTATAAGTTACATCTTTTTCTCTTTCTCATATGGGGGGCACCAAGATACAAAAGTTCAGCACCAATGAGGACAAATAAGCAGTCAATGGTAGACACGTATACACTAAGCAATACGTACTTGGACCAAATGGTAGTTTAGCAAAATTTTCAGAGTAATCCAATCACACTAATGCTTCCGACTCCAGTGTGAACCAGCTGCCAATGGGTGGATCAGTGTAAAAATTTCGAAGGTCGCTTGACTGAGGGACCAGTAAATTCGTAATGGCAAACAGGTGGTAATGTTAAAGGGTTTAACACAATTTGA